ATAAAGTAAATATTAATAACTTACGTATTTAACGTATAACTTTACTTTTTTTATTATAAATTATATTCGGGTGTTTAATTTTATAATGTCTCGTATAATTCGAAGATTAAAAACCTTTAATTTTATTAATCTTTTTAAAGGTACAACTATTATTCGTTATTAATATAAAATTATTAATATAAAATTATTAATTAAAATAACTTCAAAGGTTAATATATTAAGAACACTTACTTATTACACTCGATTAAAATTTCGCGCTCTTTTTCGGGTATAAAAGGTTATAACGTTCTTTTATATAAACCGTATTTAAAAATATAAACGTTAGAATCTTTATTTAATTTAAGTATATAATCTGACGTATTATAATTAATATTATTGGCCTTTTTAAACCGAATAATATAGATTTTAAACGGTAAAGGTAAAATAAACTCGATTTCTTACGTATTTAATTCGGTACTTTATAAATTTAATTCGTCGTTCGAATTCGAATTCGTTTGTGAATAAGTAAAAGAATCCATTTTTAAATATCTTTATTATATAATATAAAAATTATAAAATAAAGGTTTTAAAAGGTTAAAAGGTAAAGGTAAATAAACGGTAAAAGATAAAAAGTAAAAATATAAAAGATATTTTAAAAGTAAAAAGGAAAGACGTACATATAAAGATTTAGTTAAATTCTAAAATATTCTATATACTTATTATTTATATAATTATTTTTATCGGGTTTTATATATTATTAATTAAAAAGTGTATTATTAATTTAAAACTTCGAGAATATTGTATAGTTTTCTATAACTTTTTATAACTTTTTATACCGTTTTATAACCGTTTTTATACTTTTATATTTTAATAATATAAATAATTATTAAATAATTATTAAATTAATAATATAAATTAATTTATATATTATTAACTTATTTAAAGTTATTTTCTTTAATATTTATTAATTTATTTTAATTAATTCACCTAGTCTTTTTAGTCTTTTAGTCTAGTCATCTAGTCACCTAGTCTAGTCTTAGTTAAGGCTCTGACTAGACTAAACAAATAATTAGTCTAGTCACCTAGTCGTTTAGTCTAGTCTTAGTCAGGGCTCTGACTAGACTAAACTAGACTAATTGCCAACCCTGACTACAGTTAATATTAATACTACATAATATTACATGTAACATAATATTAATGTAATATATTACAATTAATATAAAAATACTACATAGTTTATATAAAAATAATAAAATAATATTTATTTAATTATCTTATTAAATATTATATTATATATAATTATTATATTAAAGTAAGTAAACCTTAATTAATAATTACGTGATTAGTTATTTTCTTATAAATACGTAGAGGTTATATAATTAGCGTTTATAGATTTTTTATTACTAATTATATAAATTATGTATGTTTAATAGTTTAATATAAGTAAATAAATATATAATTATATTTAATGTATATAGTTTAATTATAATTTAGTTATAGTTTAGTTTTTACTTTAGTTTATATAGTTTATTAAAATATAATTTATTTAACATAATTAAATATAAATTAATAATTAATTTAATTTTATATTATTAAAACTTTAAAAATTATTAAATATAATAACCCGTTATTATACACTATTATTATTAAAATATTTTATAAAAACTAAAATAAAGTAGTCTATATAAAAGTTATTATAAAATTAATTATAAAATTATATTTAATTATATTTAATTATATTAATAATATATCTTCATTATAAATGTTTTAATATAGTAGTTTTTTAAATATATAAAAATAGTTTAAAATTAATAACGTACATTACTTAAATATTACTTTTAACGTTAATTATAATTACATAATAATATTATATAACTAATTTAATAGAATATAGTTATAAATAACGTTGATATTAATATTATTTACTTTTTTAGTAGTTAAATTATTATATTACAATATTAATGTAATATATTAATGTAATACTAATATTCACAAATACTACAATTAATATATTACAATTAATATTAATATGTGTAAATACTACTGTAATATATTAATTGTAATATTAATATCGCCTAATATTACAATTAATATATTACATTAATATTTTAATTACAAATACTAAATTAATATATACTACATTAATATTAATTAATATTAATATAATCCGATACTAAAATTAATATATTAATTCGCAACCCTATAAATACTATATAGTTATTATAAACATGTATAAAGTAATTTAAATAAAGTAGTTTTTTAACTTTTTATAAAGTGTTATAAAGTCGTAATTCGTAATTTTAAAACACTACTTTTTTAAAATAAATTAATTTTATACGAAGTAAAAGTAGTTACTTCTTTATAATAGTACTATTATTACCGGTTTTAATAACGACGTTTAATTATATGAATACTTTTAATTTTAAAAATAAATACGTTATAATATAAATAAAGTATTATTTTTATAATAAACGAATTTTCACTAAGTAAAAAAAATTAGTATTAGTATTTTATACTAATACTAATTTAGTATACTAAAAATATTAAAATACTAATACTAAAAATACTAATACTAATTTAGTATTGAAAAATCCATAGTTACTAATACTAAAATACTAATACGAAATTAGTATTTAGTATACTAAATTAGTATTAGTATACTGATTTAGTATTAGTATAAATACTAATACTAACATACTAATTCCCAACCCTGGTCATTTTATTAAACGTCTCGACCGTTTATTTTATAACTTAAAGTTATTAATAAAACCTCGTAAAGTTTTACTACTACTTAAAGGTTTAAATTTTTAGTATTTAAATAACTTAAATAATTAAAAGTACGTAACTTTCATTCGAAGTTTATACTATTATTTATTATAAAGAAATGTTTTAATAAAGATAAAAGATAAATATTTAAGTGGGAAGTGTTCCGTTCGTTTATATGTTCCGTTCGTTTATATGTTCCGTTCGTTTATTAACTACGTCAATACGGTTTAAAACTAAAATTTAACTTTTTATATTTATAACTCGAATTATTTTTATTTTTTACGAATAAACCGTATAATAAATAGTATATAATATAAATAATTATATTATATTAAAAAGAAACGTTTTTGTTTAATGACCGTTAAATAAAATTTAAAAAGTAAAAACTTACTTTTTATAAAAACGAAATAAACGTTTTTGTTTAATGACCGTTAAATAAAATTTAAAAAGTAAAAACTTACTTTTATAAAAACGAAATAAACGTTTTTGACGAACACGTTTTAAAACGAAATTTTTACTTTTTATATATTAAAACTTAAATTAATTTTATTTTTAAAGATTATATATAGTTAAACGAACCGTAAAGTGCGTATTTAACGTAAATATATTAAAATAAATCGATTTCGTATAATTACCGTAGAATAAAATTTAAAAAATAAAACCTTATTTTTTATAAAACGCAATAATCGTTTTAAACGAATACGTTATTAAAAATAGTGTTAAATAATCGGGATAGTCGTATGTAATAAGAATATAAGAAATTAAGTTTTTAAGGTTAAAAAAAATCTAACTTGATAAAAAAAAATAAAAAAAATTAATGTATTTAAATTCTTAAAACTTTCGTTTAAATAATCATTTTATAATACGTAACCGTCCGTAAAAAAACTTTTATATATTTTATTTAAGTAAAAAAGTTTATAAAGTTTTTTTAAAGTTTTCTTAACTCCGTTACCGGTCGCGTTAAAACGCGTGAGCGATAATAGAACTTACCAGAACCTCCTCGTGTAAGGCCGGAACTCTGATTTTTCAGAAACCCTTGCCCTCCCTCGGTTTACTCGGGTGGGTTTAGTAGGTGATTACTTGTCGAATTTTTTTTTTACATTAAATTAATTTTATTTTAAAATGGTATATGGTTAAACTAGTAGTAAATAACGTATTTAACGTGAATATGTTAAAATAAAACGTTTTCGTTTAATTACCGTTTAATAAAAATTTAATAGTAAAAAGTTACTTTTTATAAAACGTAACATAACATTTTAAACTAATACCTTTAAACCGCATATTTGAAATTTTACACTGTAAATATCGGATTGGGTTTTTTTTAAAAAAAATAAAAACTACAATATACCTTTAAAGTCTTAAATATTTCACTTTATTAATACATACTAAAAGTCTGGATTTTTTAAGTTAAAATTATAACGTATTAAATTAGATAGATAGGAACAATTAAGTTTGATTTTTAATACAACTAAATTCAGTACAACTAATTTCAATCCTAGTTGTAACTAGGCGTAATACCAGGCTCCCGTAAAGGGAGCCCGCTGCCCCGGTAACTTGAGTTGGTGTTAACACGAACAGATATTTTCTCTTTATTTGTTTGTATAGTCCAACAGGAACGCCGAGTTTTATGTATCTTGCACCTTCGTACTCCGCGCACCGCCGCCGTATCGTGGTAGCGGATACGACTAAAATTTGTAACGTAACCTGTGGTATCTAGTTTCGTCCCGTCGTTGTGTATAAAGGGATTTTCCCGTAAGGTCCAACCAATGCATATATTCTTGCTTAGTGATTGTGTACTTTTATGTTACTTGTTCAAGTTAACTTGGCTGGGCACGTGCGTTGTCACGCCCTGACCGTACGTAAACTGTGAAGATTTGATCCGGCGAGCACCATACAGACGTGTTCGGACCAATGCTACATTTTGTAAAAATCCAACGGGCCTCGGTGTTTATTGGTCGTTTGTTTTTCTCGTCATTATCATTGAGTATTCAATATACTTAAACCAAAACACCATTCTGATCCCGATACACAATCAAAGGAAAAAAACGGCTGTCGTAAAAAGTCATCAAGACCGCCTCAAATATAGTAACAGTCATTACAAGTTCAAACAATGAAACGGGGGGGGACAGAAAATGGGTCGAAACCAGAAGTGAAAAGACGTAAAACGAACAGAACAGTAGTGACAGGGTATGCGGTACGTGTATAAACACCAGCGAAATGTGATTCAACAAACAACGTCAAAATGGTGATCTAAACTAGCTCCTGACATGGAGATACGCCGCATGTGGGGAGGAGTATTGGTTGCTTGAATGGTGAACGTTGGAATAGGCGACGTCTTCATCAGAGAAACGCTTTGCTTGGTAAACGTGCTCTGAGGAGAAGTTTGGGGCGACCTTCACCTTGCTAAAGCCGGGCTTTCTGGACCCTGAGGTTGGCAGTGAGTGATGAAATTGGACGTCATCTGATCTATAAAGCGACATTTTTGGCGTCCGTGACAATGGCACAACATCGTCAAGTGTGTGATGTAACGTACGGCGGGGTTGCGGTAAAGACCGCCGCGCACGGGAGTCGTCCTCATATGTGTCAAATGATCCTCTGCGGCGTCGTTCCGATTTCGATGTGTGGCGGCTGGATTCCGGTGGAGGAGCGGCAGGTGCCGCTGGTGGTGGGTGTCGTGAGTAGTCCATAGTCGATGCGCGCGACAAAATTGGCATACGGGGAATCGACGAGTTGGACATGTGCAAAGCACCAGCCGGTGAGGTGTACGATTTTGAAAGCCGCGGAGGCCTGAATTCTGGCACAGCCTCATAGTCTTCGACTTCGCCATCGTCGGAGGTGACTCGGGTGCGGAGTTTCTTATCATCCTGCGAAGGCCGCCGTGGTCGAGGCGAGTCTCCGCCGTGCCAAGCTTGGTCCGGGTCAGGAAAGTTGGCGTTATACGCGATATTGTCGGGAGGATGAGAGCCACCTGATTTGCTTCCTCGCCTCCTTGCATTGACCATGTAGTTTGCGGCGTATTTCATTTTTTCCGAAGTTTTGTCCGCGTTCAGTTCCAAGCGCGGTGATACATCGCGGCGGGTCGACTTGTCGCGGCGAACACTATCAACGTACTTCCCCCCTCCAGCACTCGTCGTAGCACCGGCACCAGAAGACGATGCTTTCCTCGAGACATGATGATCTTCGCCGGAATCATCAGTCACCTCGACATAGATAGGTTTTCTTGAGTGAAACTTCTCCTGCTGGTCTTGGCGTCGAGACCTGTCTCGATCACGCTCCTTCTCACGTTTTTCTTTCTCACGTCGGATTTTGTCTTTTCGGTCATCCTTTTCGCGGTCGGAGCGGCTTCTACGGTCACGGTCCCTGTCCCTATCCCTGTCTCGATCCTTGTCTTGTTCGCGATCACGCTCCCTCTCGCGCTCCTTCTCATGCGTTGATCCATGGGTTTGATGCTCGTCATCGTCCCTCCGCCGTCTTCGTTCCTCTTTGAAGTCATCACGAGGTTTCTCGTAGCTTGCAGTGCGGCGGGCGCGATGTCCTTCGTCATAAGGCGCCTTCGTTCTGAGAGGGATATCACGATCCCACGAATGAGAGAATTGATGGCTAGCACTTCCATAGGGAGAGAACGGTGACGTCGGTGGGGGCCCAGGTTTGAAAGACGGGGGTGGCTCGGCGGTTCGTATGTGAGGCTCGTTGTAGCTTTTTGGCGATGCCCGGGCAGCCGCAGCCGACCGACTCATGCCACGGGACAGCTCATCTCGAAGGCGATTTAGTTTAGCATCTTCCTCGTACTCCCTCCGTTTATTGTCGTCGCCCAGAATCTCGTAGGCTTGTTGTACACGTTGGAACTCGTCTTGTTTGGCTGCTTTCAAGGCTGGATCCTGGACCTTATCCGGATGACACTTCAAGACTAGCTTTCGGTACGCACTTTTGATGGTCGCAAGGTCCGCATCTCTACTGACACCGAGAACCTTGTATGGATCCGTTGCGAGGGATCCCATTTTTAGATTATTCGATTCAAGTGGTGGTGGAGACAGATATTTCCCAGTGAGGCTTTCAGTACCAGTGGCTGTTCGCAAGCAGCTAGGCAAGGTCGGATGGCCTGCGTGAGGGAGTGAGGTGGAAGTCGAACGGGCACTACCAGCGCGCCGTAGGAAAAATAATAGTTGACAAGAAAAGTCGGATATGTACTAGCGCACCAAGGAGAAGTGAAATGCGAAGAAAAGAAAGACGTAGGAACTCATAAAAATTATCGACCGTTAAACGTTGTACGGCGTGTGGTCTATCAGAAGATCGGAGAAGCAGTACGAGGTGGCAAGAGAACGCCGAGGGTGCCTGTGAGCAATTGCTCGGCTGCTAGACCATGTGGCAAGCTGGCGGGGGATGAGATGCTACCCATCCGCGGGGATCACTCGAAGCGATGAGCGATGAAGGATCAACGTCTGTTGTTGGAAAGAGGGGAGTGGTGTTAATGGGTGCGAGCAGCTCCGTAGAGCCCGGGCCTGTTGTATCACGAAACCTTGGATCAGGGGGAGAAACGTCACGGCCGCCAGCGACCGAAAGACAACAGCCGAAGAATCGCTCTTATCGAAAGCCGATCAAAGGTTGGCATATAGCTCAATGACATCGGTTGGGGCCGAAGAACAAGTAATGCCGAAGAACGAGTTTATTGTGAAGCGGCAAAGATCATACGGTTTTTTTTTGCAGAGACGGCCGTCAACATACAAGTGGAGGCACCGGTCGAATAAAACAGAAGCGCAGAGGAGATAATTGGAGAGAAAGATTTGATGAGAAGCAAAAGTAACGGATGGAAAGAATGAAGAAATGGAGCGTTGGGCAGGGCAAATGAGTGCCTGCTGTACACAAACGTGAGTGAGAATGAACAGGAATAAGTGGATGACTGGGAATGTGAGAGAGTAGGCCCAAGAAAGAGTAGGGGAAGGACGAAACGGAAAGAAAATACGAAGAAATAAGAACGGTGTCGACAACAACACTAATGAAAACAACACACCACTTTTGAGCGAGGCGGGAGGGGGACCGAAGGCCAAGTGTCGAAGGAGTTGGCGGTGTGTTGGTGAGGTTGTGGGGTGTCAAACGTATGAATGGCGGGGAGATGGGGGGGGAATATGGAGGGGCGAGAGGGGAGGCGATAGACGGAGGGTAATGGGCTTGGCCGTGCCACTGCAGCAAGGAAACCCAGGGCGGCTACCGTTGGGCACCCTGGCTCGTTGGTAATTGCGGAAGCGAATTAAAAAACGGCGCGAATTGTGTGCTCTGCGCGATTCGGAGCGAGCGTGGCAGTGCGGGAGATGACGGCCGACTAATGCAATAAATTATAGAGACGCACAGGGAAGGTGCAGCGAAGTTGCAGCAAAGCTGCAGCGAAGTGCATTTATGGAACAGGACCGGAGGACAGCACCAAAAGAAGAGACTGTGCGAGGTAGGCACTGTCAAGGGCGTTTGGTTTCGCCGTAGCGACTTGCCAACTCTACCCGTCTAAGGCGCGCGACATCCTCCGGGTGTCCAGTAACATAGGACACATTCAAAATGCACACATAAGACTGTCATGCAGAGCCCCATCTGAAATACTTATCGTGTACGAGAGTTGTGAGTCCTGGCGATTACGTTGTGATGTGCATCGTTTATATCACGGTGCTCTAACCGGAGCGTGGCTAAAATTCCTCATCATCCATGGACGTGGAGAGCTGGTTGACCGTGAGCTATCCGCGCTGCTGACTACTGCAAATGTTATGCGGCTTCGTTGGTTACTGGTCGTGTGGTGTCTGGGATTAAATGTCTCGATAGGCATCGTCGCAGACGGGGAGGTGCAAGTCTACCACGATCGGTTTGTGCAGCCGCTTGCCTCCCAGATGCGGATATGTGGTGGCCGTGATGGCACAGTTCACAATACATGTCTCCCCAAAGCTGCTGTGGCTGGCACCCACATGGCCTGCTCCATATCGAGGTGACCTGCCGGTGTGAGCTGCCGCGTTGACAATCGACATCTTTTTGCCCGAACCTGGATCATCCCATCGTTCAACCAATGCACTGTTACTCGTGGCACCCCAGTGCACCCATTCGGCACCACGGCCCTCATGGACATGGCCGTGGCTGCACACGCTGAAGCGCGTGCAGCAGCGCCGCGCAACGCATTGACCGACTGCGCGTTGCCGACCAGTCACAGTGTGACCGTGGCGGGGTGTGGGTCACCAATATGTCTGTGCTGACTGGGATTTCCGACCACAGTGCATAGCTAGTCAGCCGCACAGGGCCTGCGGCTTCAACGGCGGCAGAGCTCGGTGGGCATCCGTCGACCGCTGGCTGGTAAGAAAATGCCCAATTGCCATCCCGAGGACTATACGGGGAGCCAAACACTGTAAATGTAGTGCGGGGGCCCTCATTGCTCTGTAGGCGAATGTCGGCGGACTCGTGGCATAAGTATGTTATTGTCGGGCTGGATTCTAGCAGTGTTTGGCACTCCTCGGGGTGCTGGGTTACTTGGTTGTTGAACCGGCTACCGTGGTGGGCGTAAAATGCTCTATCGAGGGTGATGTCGTGATTCCCTGTGCGGCGCTCCAACGTCAGCACAACGGTTGACGATGGCAAGCATCCGCAGTATAATACTGAGCAAGGTGGCCCATCGTCACCCGTTCACCGAGTGATTTAACATACCTGCGACGACTAGTTTACATTCAAAGCCTGCACTTTCAAGCCAGGAAACTGCTCGAAAGAGCTCCGCGTGAGTCTCTTGGTTTGTCAGGTCGCCGGCATGAATCAGCACGATGTTGGGAGCACGCACATAATTGTGCCATATGTGTGTGGTTGCCTCGTTGTGGTTTGCTTGTGCCATTCGAAGTTGCGTGAGGTCTTTTGCTATTCTTGGTTTGGATATGTTCGCCGTGTTGTTTTAGCCCCCCACTAGCAGCTGAACGGTGACATTTAACCAACGCGGATAGGCACGTCCCTCCGGCCAACAAAATGAGCCACCCGGCTACGGATGTATCTTAATATCAGGAGGCGCGGTCTCCAGTGCGCCATCTCCTCAGCGCCCTGTAGATGCACTTCGATTCCGAGTTCGGCTGCCTCCTGAGTGTGGCGGATTTTGCGATATAGCACGGATGCTTACCTCGTCATTATTCAATCGTCTGTAACATTACGGAGAAAGGGAAAACTCGCACTTGATTTTCAGGTAGGACATGATGATAGGCACCTGTAATCGACAACTTAACAGGGCTTTGGGGGTGGGGGGGGGGGTGGATAAGACTTAAGGGCACGCTAAGAGGATATGTTGTAATAAGGTACGGAGTTCGTATAATGACACTGTCCTTCTTGTATAATAGGGAGAGAACTGCTTAAAGGATATAAGACATGTATATGTATGTTGTCTTTGCCGTTATCCCGCGCAACACTCCAGCGTATACCTCACGTATAAGCCTCTGCTATTTTACCTTGATAAAAGGATAAGCATAGTATTTTACCTTGTGTTAGTCAACGATGGTCACCTGACAGTTTTGAAAGCTTCATGTACCGTTGTTAGAAATGTGTCATCGAGAACCCGCTTAATTTGTCAGGCGAGGCAGTGTTACAGGGCGAACCATTGGTTATATAATCTGTTTAAGGTTCTCTATAATAAATACCATAGTACTGATACGACGTATAATATATATAGAAAATTGCTTTTACAGTATTTCTCCCCAAAACAAAAGTTCGAACACAGTATCTTGTTGTAACAATACCTATATGTTGTACGAAATACATTTATTCGGATACACTTCTCTCCACAAAAGACTTGGAAAGAAAATATAGGGTCCGCACTGTAGATGTGTATTTGTATGTACTCGTAGAAAGACCACCAGCTCCTGGTGCAAGCACTGTGTACATCATGCCAAGTACCTCTGTTTTGTCGTAATACCGACCGAATCCGTAGTAGTACGCTACAAGGGGTTCGATCGTCCTGTTCCAGTATGCTTCAGGGGCAGCGAATCAAAGGTTACCAGCCCCCTCTCTCAATTTGGTTAGCTCAAATCGCCTTTGTCCTCGCGCCAGAAACCTATTTCTTTTGTGTTTCTGGTTCAACTTATTTCTGCTTCGCAATTGCATCCATTCGAGTCCCAATCGTGATGATATTTAGCCCGTCCGGTAGGGCCTCAGTTTGGTGTACTGCCGCAACCCCGTGTCCTTGTAGGGCCCTCGAAATAGAAAGATCATAGTTCCTATCTCGTTCGACTTCCACAGTTTTTGACTTTATTGGCCCCTTGTGGCCTTTCAGCCACTTTTACCTAAACGCCTCCTTTCACCCCCTTTTGCATTATCTCATTTTCCGCCTCATTCGCCTGTTTGCAATTTTCATAGCAATACACCACATGCATTAGATTTCCCATATTGCCTTCTTCCCTCCGCCGCACACGCTATCGAAAACCCAGTTTTCCTTCGACATCAAGCTCAACGAGTCGACGGAGTTCCTCCACTTGGAAGCCTGTCGTCGCTTGTTGTCGATTGGTATTGACTTGACGGAGATATTCTCAACAAACCCAGCCAATTGTAGAGTCGAAGGCGAACGTCGAAACCGCCGCACCTACCTCCTGTTGGTGCTTTATCGTGGCCGCTTGACAGAACTCGGAAATCCAACCTACACTCGGAAGCGGCGAAGAGGACGGCGGCCCTAGGCCGTGACCGTCGCCTTTAACACCGACATTTGCTGAACACCTCTGGACGTCTCCTGCAAATACATGATCGACAAGCCTGTCTGGCTCTGGCTTAAAACCTCGTTCCGTTTCGATATTCTCTGCTCTATCGCGTCACCTGTGAGACTAGAGGACGCAGGGCTTTGTTCCAACTCGCATCTACTTACTATTGCCATTTTGAGGCGTAACTAACCTTGGTTAGCTATCCTTAATCTCCAATAACTATGACGGCTGTGTCATCTGTCCCAACAATGGCAACATCGGCTTCGACTACCCTTACGCCTCCCACTAGCTCGCATGGCAATGGCTACTCGTGGGATTCCTCAACCCAGCACCCTGAGGTAGGCCCTGTCCTTTTAGTTCCTTACTGTTGCTTTGATAGATTTACTCGCAGAAGAAAGCCCTGTCTTTTTGCGAACACCTGTGATGTTTTTGTTGCGATGCCTTTTCATATGTTCAAGCTGACACAATTTTCCTAGTTTGAGCAGGCCTCTTCGTTTTCGCAAAATGGGCTGCCCAAACCGCAGTCATCGCAGCATGGCAATGTTTTGGCACACGCTTCACCAAATATACATTCTGACCAGTTTGCCTACGAGAAGAGCGCCACAACCGGCGAGGTCTCAACATCGACACTGAAAGCAGCCGATTCCGGTTTGTATTCTTACGGGCAGGAAAATGTGAGGCAGGGTCGACCACGAGACGCGAGCAATTATCTGACTGAGAGTGCATTGGATGTACATGAGCTCAGCCGGACTGGCACTTCAAACGACTCAAACAAAAGGGCTGCTGGTGAGGCACGTGTGAGCGAATTGGATGATATTAGCTCAAAGTGGATTCATCGCGATAAATTGGCTCGAATCGAGAACGAGGAACTGCAGGCTGCCGGTATAATTTTGCCGAAACCTCGAGGCCGGAGTAAACCTCGAAGGGACACCAGCCAGGACAAGACAGCCAGCCACAGGAGGGCCTTGCCGGAAGGCGATACAACAATGGAACCGAGATCACAGAAGAACTCAACTGGCATCTTGGATGGCAAGTCCATAGACACGCCTATTTCCCCTTGGGACCTTCGATTGCCAGACGAAATTGCGGAGGAATCATATTTTTCCTCTGTTCAAAATGGCCGAGGCTCTTCGCGGATACCCGTTGCGAAACTAAGTCCAGCGCCGATAGCATTGGAGCACATAGAACGGGACACACCCATGCCACGGCGGCGTGACGGTAGCCCGGCGACCGAAGAGAGCATTGCGTACTCAAAAGTGCGAGCTCGCAGCGCTAGTATGCGACAAGACGATGACGGTATGGGACTGGTTCCCACGTCCCCCTTTAGGAACATGACACGGTCTACGTCTGATTTGTCACCTAAAAAGATATCCTCCGGTGGCAGCGCTTCCACGGCCGGGCTGCGGAAATCATCGGCGCCTGCCAAAAACATGCCACCGGCAGGGCGCCCAAAGACTCGTAATGGAGCTAGCAAGGATTCCAATATGAGCAGTACCGGAGCAACTCGACCTTCGACACGTTCAGGTGACCGAGAGCTGTCTCGTGAGATCTCGGCCGGTGCTGCAAGCCGGCAGCCAGAAGGTGACCCGCCATGGATGATCTCTGCTTACCGCCCCGATCCAAGACTACCTCCGGATCAACAGTTACTCCCTACAGTGGCGCGTCGCTTACAGCAAGAAAAGTGGGAGCGAGAGGGGAAATTTGGCACTGTGTACGACAAAGAATTCCGCCCTTTAACAGACGAAGGCTTCCTCACCCCCCCAGAGACAACCGAGAAAGTAGTAGAGCCAGCGAGAATTGGTGGTGACGTCTCAGGGAAACCCGACGAATGGCCATTAAAACCCGAGGCGAAGAGCTCCTCGTTGCATCAGGGACGGGCGGGATCTTATTCGACCATTCCCAAAATCCAAGATAAGCTGAACATGGGCCCGCTGCCGAGTCCCAGGAGCGCCCTTCCTAATCAAGCTGAATCTGACGCTACGCCGCCGTTATCTGGTCATAATGGGGTAGACGGTGAAGCGAAACAAGGATGCGGTTGCTGCATTGTCATGTGATCAGCATACCTTGTGAATATAATTTCTGTACGGATTGCAACACTCCGGCAGCATACCGCTCTGTCTGTCCGATATCGCGTGGCTCCGCGGCGGGGTATTGGGAGGGGCGAGGAATAACGTACTTCCTCCAATCCAATCCTTCGAAAGACTCGAATTGGATATGAGTTCAAACAGACATCAACCCCGTGCAAAAGGTCACCGACGAGTGTCAAGTATTTGTCAACAATACAGGCAGTACAAATTGCCAGCAATGAAATCGAAGGGGTCCATAGCTCAACACCGCAAAAACTACATAAGTTGCCAGGCTGCTATGTACGTGGCTAGTTATTGAATCTCAGCCGGGATAACTGGACTCCATCTCGCCGGCCGCCCACGGACGCTTGCCACCCATGCACAACTGCCTTACGACGCCACGACGCTTCATTCTCTTGGTTCCACAGCATTGCATCGTTTTCCTTTGCGACGTTTGCATCTCTTGTCCCTTTGGTCGGTGCGGGAACACCTGGTGTTGATAACTGTCACGAAAGTATGCACCATTTACTCTTTTTTGCGCCGCTATGCAGGCGGGTAATTTTTTTTCTGGACATATTTTCTCTCTTCTTTTTTCGTCGTTTTTCTTCCTTCTTTCTTCTTCATACTTTTTTGTTGACCCCTGACGTGTGGTATGGAGCCTTTTTTGTCTGACGAGAGCGCTCTATCGCCATATGAGCCGCTTGACCTTCTTTTCTGCTGTTCAGCCACAATTTTTATTCTTTTCTACCTGCATTGGCCCCTTCCCGTCTTTGTCGTCTCTTTTGTTTTTGACAAACTACCCGAGCACTCTCACGGCGCCTTGTGGAGATTTGCAACCCGCTGTCCTATCAAATAATATCCCAATGCTGATTATGCCAAGTTCGCTTTTTTATCTGCAGCTTATGATTCTCTCTTTCACGTTTCCATAGTGTATCGAGACTCACAGAATATAGCTTCCTTTGTTTTCACCCATTTATTGTTTTCTTTCGTTATTCTGCGCTTCATTTCCCGGCTATCGTTTCCCTTTTCCTCATTGTATTTTGAAACAATTTCGTGTTGTTCCAGTCACTTACCAAATACCCTGCTCCCATGAGCATGTAGTAGTGTATTAACATACACCAATATATTCTTCATAGAACCCATCTATTTGTAGCGGTGCATCGATATTCTGGTGGCCTTTCATGTAACCCTTCATTTTGTCGCGGCGAAAAAGAGGTTGACATGCGGAGCTTGTGGTCTCAATAGCCCAGAGGACTGCGTGTCACATTGCTGTTAGCACCGTGTTCCTGCACAAACTGCCCGTCATAAAAGAAACTCCACGAAACGTGTTGGCATGTCAAGTAGAGCTGACATTTGACTGGTAAATGTTTAATTCGCTTTCCGCCCCGCACATCATGCACTGTAATCGGGAGACTAGTCCTAACCTGGCTGGAGCACTCGGCAGATCTTGAAAGAAGTGGGGCCTTGAATTATCTTTGGAGGGTCATTAGAAGCGTAATTACTCCGTAATGGCAGTGGCGTAGCTTAAAATTATATTTAATTACTAAAATTTTACTACTAAATAAGATAAAACCTAAAAAACTTAGACCTGACAATTTAGCGCCTCTGCACCTCCGGCAGTAAATCATGTAGAGACTTCACTTCGCAAAACACCACGCATGCAGAGGCAAAGCTGCCCAACAGCACGTCTGTTTATCGAGATATTATTACGTCGCAGAGAAATAATACAATTAAAAAAGTCTTTTACATGGCTTCAAAGTCTACGCAGCGGCATAGGCAGTGCGTTCGCTCAAAGTGGGTGACAGAGGGTAGAAGGACTCATTGGTGGCAATCGTCCAAAGCCTTTTCCAGGCAGCAGGGATTCCTTCCCGGGGCATTTTTTTTTCTACCCCAAATCGTTGGACATTTGGCCATGTAATGGTTCTTTTGTATGGGTCGGCCGTTAGTTCTCCATGCATAACTGGGAGGGTGTTTGTGACCAAACGGGATGTCCTGCGATGTTTTATGGTTTACTTCAAGCTTTTACTTTAAGCTTTTGTTCCGGTGCTGCTCTCGTGCACAGACAAACATTACTTAAATGGGGTATGAGTGAGCCGTTCACTGCAGTGCTTCACTGTTGTGCTTGTCTCGACTCAGAGGGGTGCGGACTTTTTCAAAGACACCCTGGTTTTCCAAAGTGTTAGACACGTAATACGGAATACATTGTACGGCGTGTTAGTCCTAACAGGTCCTAGCTAGGGCTGAGGCCACCCCATTCCCGGCCCCTGTCAATACCAGGTCAGCCTTACAACGGTACACACTGAACAAAGTTACCACACAAATAACATTGATTTTTGGATTCTGTCTCCGCAAGTCTAGCTTTTTTTTCTCACTGTGGCCTTTCTTCATCCGGGGCCCAATATTTTGACTCGTTCATATCTTTGCCTCCCGGGATGTCCTTTGCGATACCGGCTTTCGTACCTTCACTTCGCGGAGAAAATAGCCAGAAACCTATATAGACGTATTACCGCGGATAGACCCCAGACATTCCATGATTATTCGCTAATCTTTCGTTATTGCTTCTTCCCACTGGCGATTTTATTAAGCCCCATACGACATCCCCATGGCTGCCTCGTGTAGCCTCCAACTCGTACTTATTTCACCTCGCACCACCGTGACGCCCTTCGTTCGGCTCATTTAACCAACACCACCTACTGTATTTGCCCACTCCCTGGCCTCCTACCGTCGCAAAAATGCCCTTTTACTTGTACGGACCGTCCGCACGGCAATACGGCAGATATACTTCCCAGTCGAGCGCGCGTCTGCCGACTTCTTCGCGCTCCTCGTCGTCCGCATCTGCATCGGAATTTATGTACGAAAACAACATGGACCATCACTTTATGCAATCGGCACCTACCCAGACCTTGCGCTACATGCGGTGTGCACGTACTGTCAAGTCCATTGCTGTAAGAGACATGGCCTCAAGTGATATGATTCGGGTTGGCCTTAACATTTACTATGGCTACCGATGTGCAAGACTGGTGGGCTACGAATGAATCAGTCTTTTCCTCGTCTGTTCTGACGGGGGGGGGGGGCAAGTATTTCTGCAAGAAGCCCTACACCTTGGCTAATTGGCACAAACATGGCTACGTATGGCACGCAATCGTTTCCTTAGCATTGTTCGCCATGATACCTATGACAACTGCCCTTTTGCGAACGGGTTCCGCACAGCCTTTCATGTATGGTGGTGTGCTCTCTCCCCCATACTGTACGACATAGAGGGCGAACAATCGCAGCCCGATTGTCGAGCCGACCAAAACCACATGCGACAGTTTGTTATTTGCGATTGCGGGCCTTGGTACTGCGGAAACATCTGAGCCTTCACTCATAGGACCAAAATACTTGCCTGGGATAAAAGAAACCCAAATTTGTGCCTCATCGCCCGAGGCTGGTTGCCAAATTGTCCCGTCATTTACAACCTCTTGAACTGTAAAAGACAAATGTTCTAAATGCAGGCGGGAGTGTAATGCCATGGTCAACTATAATTGTCCTGTACTATTATTGCCGCTCGTTATTGCGACTAGATGATATTAGAGTAGTCAACAGATGTCTCCAACCGCTTATCCCAGTCACCTTCTCAAGTTTGTGTGTATGAACACGGGCATGTCTAACCTAATCGACATATGGAGAGGGAAGAACAAGAAAGGAACGCAAGGCAGGCAATCCGATTCCGCAAACGAGTACCGTGTCATGACACATGTTGGGCAGAAAGAGAAACACCTCCTATCCTCCTATGCCGCATCAATACCCCTCAGATGTTGCATTGGTGGTGTTGCTCTTACCCAGATTCTTGAGTAGGTAACTTCGTTTGAAGTATTCATTTGGATGCACGATTGTCTCCAGTTGAGCAGCTGTCAAGACACCTTCGTCCTTAGCCCTGGAAATTTCGTTCTTGTGAGCAAATTCGAAAACCCTAGCAGACAATAGGAATAAATTAGCGATCATAAAAGACAAGAGAAAAGGCAAGAAAAGACATCGACTACAAAGAATATAAAACATGGAATAACAGCGTGGCCGTGATGAGCACGTACCGGTTGCATGCCATGTGAAACTTTTGTTTCTCCTTGTCCTCTTTCACACCTTGAAGAACGGCACGGTCTGTGACACCAACAGCTTGCAATAGAGCCGTTAGGTTCTCGACATTGAAGTGGCGGTATGGACATCCATGGTTATCACCTGGTCCCGGCGGGTGCTCAGTTAGGATCTTTTGGCAACTGTAAGGGCTGTAGCCGCCGCCGCGACGGTTAGAATCGCCTCCAACATCCCCATAAGCATGGCGGACATTGTACCGGTATTCTTTGTTGAATGTGTCATCTGATATTTTGTTGAAACTCTGGCGCCAAAACAGAAGGCACTCTTCCAAAGTCAAACCAATACCCTTGAGAAAAAGTGTGTATTGTAGACGGCCGTAGTGTTTGAGATGCGCTTCACGCCGCAAAGACCGGTGTAGGTTCTGCATGCATAGGGGGAAGTGGGCCGTGGCAAGGCCGTCAATGCTTCGTGCTTTAATGTCGGCCCCCGGCAGTTCGTTGTCAGTACTGGCGTAGGCTGCGTCAGGTGTCACAAAGTTTTTGGACAAGTGATCGAGGATCGGCGTGAGGCGGTCGTCTTCATCTAGCCTTGGTAGAGCACGTGCCGTTAGCTGGGACCAGTGGCGGCCAGTGTTAGCGCGTTGCAATTTTGCACATCTTCGTCTCCCACTCTCCGCCCATGTTTACATACCTCCAACGCCCTCTCTAGCCTCGACGAGAACTCGGAGACGACCATGCTCGCTTGTTCCCGTGAAGGAACGTAGGCCTTGCCAGCTTTAAGGAACACTCTGCGAGTATCGACAAGCTCTGGTACGCGGTCCCAGTCGACCTTGCACCAGCTCTCCTCATCGACTGCCTGCTGTTTCCGACCGCTGTGGAGAGAGCTGCTCATAGCAGCAAGCTCGGATGCTAACTTAGTTCTCTCCTCATCAGACACCATTTCCCAGTCTAAGTTAAGGCCCTGAATGAACGCGGTGCGCTCTCGCATGTCATCAGTGCCTAGTCGTAGGCGAAAGAGCATTGTTTCCAAGCGGGCAAACCGCCGGCGAAGATCCTCTGTGGACGAAAATGCAAGCCGAAGGATAAAATGGCTATAATGGTCTTTCTTGCGCTGGGATGCAAGTCGCGTTGACAAGCTGCTGTTCGTGTCCAACGGTAAATACTTTTCCAGCATTGGTTTCATGTACGTGGCAGTCTCTGCTGGTGACCGATTGCGGAAAGAGCATGTCTCTAGTTCGGCGAGGACTGTTGATGTGTTAGCAATACAAACAACAATCATAGAAAAAGCGCGGCGGGAAGAACGTACCGCGCAATCGGTCAATCGCCCATTGCTCGAATTGTTCCAGTGTGATATCTGAAGTTGGGGGTTCGGCATAGATGCTGAGGCGCGTTGGGTATAGCGCTTCTTTGTAAGATGGGTCGACAAACTGCTTTTTGCGATGGTCGAGGACGTTGCGTCGCTTGGGCTCAACGCGGTTGAAGTCTTGTCTGATCATCGTGTGGGTTGATTCACAAGTGTAGTCCGTCTTAGCTTTTGATATGTGAAATTGGAGTTGAAGGTCGAATGATCTTTGGAAATAGGAAAGAAACCAGAATTGATTTGCGCCAGTGTCTAATGTTTGCACCGTGATGATAGAAAGTGCTTGAGACGCAGAGTACGGTATGGAGGGCTGAAGGTAAGGATGGAAAAACAACCTATTTACTTCTTTGCACGACAGAAGTCTACTAAATGGCCCATGTCTTCAAAACGACGCGATTTGACGCGACTGGTATTTAATTAACAGTGCCTAGTAACGTCACGCGTCTCTGGTACGTGAAACGCTTAGTCATAAAACGACAGCTCTAACTGAATCAGTGCCATACTAGAACAAACTGCGAAACAAACCCAACAAACCCGTCGACCGTTGCTTCACCTTAAAGAGAGAAGCAGAACGTCGTAAGATATTTACTTTATTTAGTTTTATCTCTTGAAACAAGAAAATGTCAGGTTTTCATACCTTCTTGTTACATGCTTAACTGGCTTAGCCAAAGCCCGACCACAATCGAGCTCATGGCCTCAGTTCGTGGATGCTATTCAACAAGACCTATGGATTTACACGCCATGTCTCGTTTTCACTTACGAGAGATCCTTTACCTCAGTATGCCTTAAAGGCAGACCAAATTCATACTGTGTCAAAAAGGCCACCTCCCCGCCCCTCCCAAAACCAAAAAAGTGCAGTTCAGTAGCGGGTGCATGTAGTTTGGGAATGCAAGCAGAGACTTAGTGGGGTGGGTATTTGGGGAAACGACATGGACGGGAAAAGCTCATTTTTATGGAAGGTGGTTTTCCTATCATCCTATCGTCCCCCAGCCGACTCCGTATGTAGTATTTGTGTCTGTAAAACATAGCATGGGAGAGACCTGGAGGTCCAGTGGTGTGTGTGACGGTGGCCTGCCATGTGCCTATGATTGGCTGCTGCAATCTAATAACAACGCGCTTGCCGTTTCGAGCCTAATGCACGGCACCGCTCGTTACGTTACTTTGTGTGTCCCTCGGGCGTATTACTGAGTTAAGTACGAGTACTCGAAACAATCTGGCCAGCTGGTTTAGCCTGGTCACGGCTGACTCAAATGCGTAATCCCTTGTAAAAATGGAGCTGTCAATGACGCCCCCCCAGGCAAGCCAGAGAGAATTGCCCATTGCCAGGTCGAAAAGGAGGCATCGTGGTGACTGTGGACTGGGCTTCGAATGCACGCTTTGCGACCACGCTCCGAGCCGACACTGTGTGTCGGTGCCTCGTCTGGCCAGCCTCGCCACTCATGCCGTTGTGCAGCAGCCATATCTTTGTCCTGCCAATATTATCGCGACATTATCCATCGACCGGTAGTCAGACATCATTTTCCGCCCAGCGCATTGCGGACGTTGCGCCGGGCCGATTTTTTCCCCGTTGTTTTCTGATTTTGCAGTTTTGCAGCTCCGACTTGTGTTACTGTTTCTCGGTTGGCAGCTTTGAGTATCGGCCAACACGAACGGCGTCTGCTATATCTGCTTTTGTTTATTGGCAACTTTCCTCCGGCACCTTGCGTCTTGTCCGCCACCCCACAAACTGACGCGCTCGACAATTTCTCACGTTTTCGAAGTACGCTCCTAGTGCTTGACACACTCGACGATCCGGACCGTTCACCGTCCGAGGCGGCCTTCCGGCAGCTGCCCCGAAGCGCTCTGCGTATGTTGGTTCGACCGGGCACCACCACGTGCATCATGGACCACAGCGCTTTGCCTCAGACGCCACGAAGCACCGACAGTGCTGTCCCCCATGACCCAGGCTCTCGTTGTGGTTCAGAAACACCTGTTGCCGATTCTATAGATACGCCGGGCAGTCCTATGCTCTCAAGTTTCGATGATAGCTCTTGTCTTACTGTCACCCCTCCCGCAACGTCCACGACGCACGCTGTGGACCTTCCAATTTTAAACGAGGTCTCTGTCCCAGTGACTGCTACCTCTTTGGCCTTACCTTTGACGTTGTCATCTGACTCGTCCCCGGCGGCAACAGCTGCGACGGTGGAAACGGAGACGACGATTATAACAACACCCGCTCGCCTCCCGACAGGCGACGTTCAATTCCGATCTCAAACGATTGCTCCGTCGCCACCACAGTCACGCTCCCCCCCAACACCCTCTCCGCCCTCCGCGAACGATCTTGATCGGGAGTCGGACGTTCCGTTCAGCAGCCACTACGCTCGCACAGCTCGTACTAGCGGACTTCATTCCTTGCGACTTCAGACAGACGTTCAGTCCGCCGATTCATCCTTGGCCTCAGCGTCGTCCACTCCCCGTCAAACGTCAGACCCAGTGACCTCGAATGTGTCCCCGTCAGGGAGCATCACCTCCACGCCGTACTCGGGCCACGTACGCCCTTCCACGATTACCTTGCAGCACAAAGGTTCAAACACGTCTCTGCAGCCCGTGTCTCGTACACCTAGTCTCAAGACCACCGCCTACCACGGCTTTGGGACTGCCTCTGCAGCCAGCTCTACCGTCCCGAGCCCAATAATTTCGGCTATGGGGGACGTTACCCCTTTACCCTCGCCGTTATTGTCTGGAGATTCGCCAGGGCCCTGGAAAAAACTGGGCCGTTCACCTCCGATTGAAACCCCTGTACATTTGGTAACAGGGATGCCTGACTCTGCCCTTGTTACTGCGAACGGCGAATCCCTCACTGCCGCATTGGCGCACCAAGCAAAGAGAAAAGCCTATGCTGAGCTGCTCGCTGGAAACCCAGTGCGACCTCCTGAGACTGGCCATATGCGCTCCGATATCCAACCAGCACACACACGGGGGAGAAGCCTCAGCGAATATGTCCCCAACTCGGTGCTGTCGCCAGTTCGAATGGTCACTGTCTCTGCGACTCATTCCAAACAGGATGCTGGTCAAGAAAACGCTGAAACTCCATGTGAGCCACACATGCGTCGTGAGCCTCACCTCTCTGAAGTTCGCGGAATCACACCTGTTGAAAAGCCACCGACGCCCCCCCCAAGTGAATCGTCTATGCTCATGGGCGATGGAGCGGCGCCTTCAGAGAGAGACCAGGCAACTGCCCAGAGTAAAGAGTATTTCGAGGCCCTTGGTCGCGATGATCAGAAACGACGGCGATGGCGCTCTATCAAGCTGCTCGGCCAGGGCACTTTCAGTCGTGTTATGTTGGCCACGAACCGGATGTCCTTGTCCAGCGAGGATACAGGCCCGGCTACCCAAAGCTCATCTATCTCAGGCTCAGCACCGCGGTCTTGTTATGACCGCAGCACTCTCGTTGCCATCAAGATATGTGAGCATGGCCCAAAAGGCGGCGCCTCTGAGGATCGTATTGAAATGAGCCTTAAGCGCGAGCTGGAGATTATGCGATGTATCAACCATCCGTCTCTTATTCGCCTCAAAGCATGGAACATTGAGCCAACTAGGGCAATTCTTGTACTAAGCTATTGTCCCGGCGGTGACCTCTTTGATATTGCCAGCGCTCATCGCGACATTCTCTCACCACGACTTCTTGCACGTATATTCTCTGAGCTTGTCAGTGCCGTGCAATATCTCCATGGGCAACATATTGTTCACCGTGATATCAAACTGGAAAGTAAGTAACACCAGCCTACCCTCGTCCACTGGCACTATTGGCTTTTAGGACCGTGCACATACGTGCATTGCCCAGGATTGCACACAAGGTATGACGTGTGTTGTGAGGTGTTCTCACTATGTTAACGCGGGTGCTGTAATGTAGATGTGCTGGTCAACTTGACTCCTAAGGAATTGGCAGAGGGCGTCGTTGATTGGGAATACTATCCATACAGCGTAACAACGCTTACGGATCTTGGGCTTTCGAGACGAGCTGCCGACGATGAGAAACTGGAAACGCGCTGCGGGTCAGACGATTACGCTGCTCCAGAAGTTATAATGGGCCAGCCCTACGACGGTCGTGCGACTGACGCATGGTCTTTGGGTGTACTACTCTATGCGTTATTAGAAGGCCGGCTACCGTTTGATCCGAATCCCGGAATGAGCGACGCTCATCGAATGCGCTCGAGGACTAGCCACCGCATCGCACGTGTGGAATGGCGTTGGATTCAGTTTGCTGGCGATGATGGGGATCACGAAGGAGATATTTCCAAATTTCGTGCGAGCGGATTAGGAGGCGCAATGGAGATAACCGAGGGTCTTCTTAAGCGAGCCCGTAGCAGATGGACCCTTGCTCAAGTGGCGGAAAGTGCTTGGGTTCATGATGCAGTGGCTGTTAAGGGCGGTTTGCAGTTCAGGGAAGAGGAAGAGGGCGAGGAGATTGCATGACAGTCGACTTAAGCTGTTTGATTTTATGTACCCCATACTTTGTTACAAAGCTACTAATCTCATACTACTCTGTAGTCTCTAGCATTCTGCACGCAGGCATGGGTTCCGGTCGGTCGGGATCGGTCGTGATCCTTCGACAATGCCACAAGTTGCTCAATGACGTAATACACGCCTTTACAGATCGCAACCACATCCACATTATATAGACATATTCGCAAGAGCACCATGGAAAATTACCTCCTTAATGCAGGTCTACATACTCAACAAGTAAAATGATACCACGTAAGTCATGTTCACTGAACATCGTGAGAATGTCGACGAAACATGCCGTCGTGGTGATCCATCAAAAAAATCGCGCGAAATACGAGGCATCATGTAACGCAGATAACACAGCCAGGCCAGTCCTAACTCCAATTCATTTTATTATCCATCCACCGCAACAGCTCTTTGTCAGCTGGAGCGTTCGCCTTGGTGGTTTTAGTCAACCTCCTCCATGGCGCTGTCGCCAGCATCGGCAACAGCCGGGGTTTCAGTAGGAGCCGCGTCGTCGATCTCCGGCTCCTCATCAATGTTCAGGCCGAGGGAGACCAGCTTGTGGATACGCTCGGCAAAGCTAGCAGGCTCGTCGATGGTAAAACCAGACACCAGCAGAGATGTCTCGAACAGCAGCTGGACGATGGACTTGACAGTCTTGTCGTCCTCGCCGTCGGCCTCAACCTTCTTCTTGAGTTCCTTGATGATCGGGCTCTGGGGAGAGATCTCAAAAGTCTTCTTGGACGACATATAGCTCGACATCGATGTGTCACGCAGGGCCTGGGCCTTCATGATGCGCTCCATGTTGGCAGACCAGCCGAATTGGCCGGTACGGATAGCGCAAGGCGAGCCCGTCAGCTTGTGGGAGACAACAACCTTCTCGACCTTGTCGCCCAAGATATTCTTCAGAGCCTTGGCGACGCCCTCGTACTCCTTCTCCTCGGCCTCCCGGGTCTTCTTCTCCTCGTCGGTTTCCTCAAGCTCGAAGTCCTTCGTGATGTCAACCAGCTTCTTGCCCTCAAACTCCTTCAGCTGTGTCATGGCGTATTCATCGATGGGGTCGACCAGGAACAGTACCTCAAAGCCCTTGGCCTTTAGGGAGTCAAGGAAAGGCGAACGGGACACAGCCTTGATGGACTCGCCAGTGATGTAGTACATGTTCTTCTGGTGCTCAGGCATCCGGGTGACATAGTCGGCCAGCGACGTCTGCTCATCGCCCGACTTGGTTGAATTGAAGCGCAGAAGTTTGGCCAGCGCAGGGCGATTCTGGGTGTCCTCGTGAATGCCCAGCTTGATGTTCTTCGAGAAGGCCGTGTAGAACTTGTCGAATTGCTCCTTGTCCTCGGAGATCTCAGTGAACAGCTCAATTGACTTCTTCACAATGTTCTTCTTGATCACCTTCATGATCTTGTTCTGCTGCAGTGTCTCGCGAGACAAGTTCAGGGGAAGATCCTCAGAATCGACGACACCCTTGATAAAGCTTAGCCACTCAGGAACCAGATCAGTAGCGTCGTCGGTGATGAAGACACGGCGAACGTAGAGCTTGATGTTGTTCTTCGTCTTCTTCGTCTCAAAGAGATCGAAAGGTGCGCGCTTCGGGACAAACAGGATAGCGCGGAACTCGAGCTGACCCTCAACCGAGAAGTGCTTAACGGCCAAGTGGTCCTCCCAGTCGTTTGTGAGCGACTTATAAAATGAAGCGTACTCCTCCTGGTTTATGTCCTGCGGGTTGCGGGTCCAGATGGGCTTCTGCTTGTTCAGCTCCTCCTCTTCAATCGTGGTCTCCGTCACCTTCTTTGTCTTCTTCTTTTTGTCCTCCTTCTCCTTGCCGTCTTCATCGTCGCTGACCTCCTCAATCTTAGGCTTCTTATCGTCGGAGTCCTCAGTAGTAGTTTCCTCCTCAGCATCCTCGTCTGGAACCTCCTTCTCAGTCTCCTTCTTGACGTGGAGGTAGATAGGATAGGAGATAAACTCCGAATGTTTCTTGATCACCTCCTTAACCTTGCTCTCGTTAAGGTAGTCCATCTGCTCATCCTTTAGGTGCAGGATGATCTTCGTACCACGGCCAAGGGGCTCACCCTCCGTGTCCGGGAGGATGGTGAAGGTGCCGCCGGCACTCGACTCCCAGATGTACTGCTCGTCGTCGTTGTTCTTCGAGATGACCTTAACCTGGTCGGCAACCAGGTAAGCCGAGTAGAAACCGACGCCGAACTGGCCAATCATGGAGATATCGGCGCCGGCAGTCAGGGCCTCCATGAACTGCTTGGTACCCGAGCGAGCAATAGTACCGAGGTTGTTGACGAGGTCCTACAAAATATATTAGCTCATGTCCGTCTCAGACCACACCCGTTACGTAGTCAAGCAGTGGTTGGCGGTACAAAGAATACGCTGGCGAATGTACTTACAGCCTTGGTCATGCCGATACCCGTATCGCGGATCGTAAGAGTCTTGGCATCCTTGTCAGGGATGATGTCGATGCGGAGGTCTTTGCCAGAGTCCAGCTTGCTGGGGTCCGACAATGACTCGTACCGGATCTTGTCCAGAGCATCAGAGGCATTGGAAACAAGCTCCCGAAGGAAAATCTCCTTATTGGAGTAGACGGTGTTGATGATCAGAGACAGGAGCTGAGAGATCTCAGCCTGGAACTCAAAAGTTTCACCAGACATCTTGGCGGATGCTGTTCACGGCAGAACAGATAATTTCTTGAAGACTGGAGCATAAAATAACAAAAACTTTTAGTTAGCCACTCGTGGTGTATCTTTTCTTGATTTGAGGCTGCATCGATAGGGATATAAAATCATTTGATAGTGAGGATGTACGCGGAGCTGATGTCGATGGTGGTGGGTGCGATGCAAACTCACAGATGCTAAGGTGCTTGACTGGTTGTTTTGTCGTCCGGAAAAAAGGTGGAAAGTGTCGTAGACTGACAATGAAATTGATTGAAGACTGGCAGAGGAGAAACTGGGTGGAAAGGAGAGGAGGAAGTAAAGGGAAGAAACGAAGGGAGAGCTTTCGTAGACCGTGACAGCTTAAAAGGGCAAGTTTTTTTCTGCAGGTCCGACCAGCCTAGAGCTTTCGGTGGACATTCTATGGGATTCTACCATTCTAGCCCCTAGAAGCTTCCATGATTGGCCGGGCTGGGCCACCATGGCAACCAGAACGTAGACATGATTGGTAGGATTGTTACCTTCGCCCGGATAGTAAAGAGTGGGGCAGAACCCCAATGAGGGCGAAGGAAGGGGTGCGTTGGGTTTTTGAGGCACTTTTTTGGTGCCCTCACTTATAGTTGCCCCACACAAAGCTTTCGACATTGGACAAAGTTTTGGTTTCGAGAACGATCTGTATCACAGTGTCAATGTGTGCGTGGCGCCGACTTAGTTGGACCAAGCAAATAAAGACGCTGTGTCAACACACTCGCTTCTCTGTCGTTCACACGCTTCTCTCGTGCAGTGTGAAGTATCGGCAAAACACGCCTATTTTATGTATATATTTAAATTTAAATGTTTTACCACGCCATTTTCTTTAGGCCTTTTGCCACATGGATACCTATCGCCTATGCACTAAACCAATGATCGCGAGCCAACGAACGCAACGGTTCAAAGGTTACTTGTTGCGGCTATGTAATGTGGCAAGGTTACCAGGGGTAATGTCTCTGTTAGAGCAACGGCTTATTACATTGCACTTTTCTGTTAGCCAAAAGTGTAGAGTACAAAGTCACAAAAGCATGTAAGTTCGTACTGTTTACTGGCTGAGAAAACAAAATGGAATGCCATGTAGGATGTTATCTCGTATCCCAGTCCAAAGGCGCCCTGGTAGCTCACCTAGTTCACTCCTCCGATTCAGTGTTCAGCTCAGCGCCGTTCAGTCGCCGGTAGTGGCGGTCGCCATACAGGAGACCAAAGCGGGGAGCACCAGCGCCGTCTACCGCTTCAGCCTCTCCGTCCATAATTTCCAGAATCTCACCAAGGACCACGACGTGATCGCGTACCGGAACCAGCCCTCCAAACGGCTTGTCTAGTAGCCGGCAGCGAAGCACGTAGAGCACGCCTGCTCCCCGGAGAAATGGTTGCTCGTGGTCTTTGTGATACCCGGGATGTGCTTCCGGCCACACTACTTGGCTACCGGTTCGCCGTAATGCACCGAGTGTTTTAGCCGGCTGTGAATTTCCTGTTCGAAAAACGTCTGCAAGACGGGCTCCCTGGACATCCCCGGAAAGAATGTGTATCATGAAATGCTTCGTCTTGGCAATCACCAGCTCTGTGCGGCTAGGGACCGCTATGTTGAATGTGATCACCGGACTCGGGTACAAGCTGAGTGGCGCGAAGGATGACATTGTCAATCCAACAGGGACAGCCGCATCCCCGCCCGGGGCCGGTGCTGTGTCTTGTGAATGTGCTGTGCAGACAACAACGGAGTCTGCTACGTGCCTCAAGATGTGGCGGGCGTGCTCTGGCAATATTAGGGGCGCCGTGTTGTTGTCTGCCCTTTGCTCACGGCGACTGTAGTGACCAGAAGGGGAACAAATTGCCGCGGACGTGGCAAAAGAGCGCCTCGGATGGGAGGGCCTACATCGGCCATCTTTTCCCATTACACCAGTTAGTTAAGTGCAAGAATTATGTCACAGAGACCAAGTCGAAGGAAGCCCGACGAGACTGCATATAGTCTACCCACGATGTTGCTCAGCCAGCTGCAGTTGTATAACACGTCGGAAACACCTGCATTGGGGCCTAGTGTGGCGAGGTAGCAAGGCTACGTTCCCAGCTAGGCAGCCAAGGATGCGACGGTTTCGCATTTCATCGTCCCAATGGCGGTGCCTGTGTAATTTGTTGAAGGCCGTGAGTGACACGGTCGTGGCAATTGACGCGGTTCTGTTTCTGCAAGATCGGGATATGTTAAGAGGTGAGATCGCCGGGTTGCGATTTGATAGTTTAGGTGCGAAGCCGCTAGAGAGGTCTAACGCAAAGGGCAAAACTGTGAGGTCCTTGTGTCGCCGTTATTTATACCGTTACCCTGTAAGTTGCGCCACCGTCTTCAGCGCCAAAAGCACGGTCATTGATTTCATCCACATGATGTATATCTTTATCGTAGGTTGGCTTAATTTCTTGTTTTATACTCTTATCACCAGAGCTCACCAGAGCCGGGCAAGTAAATGATTGCAAATATAATTTTATGTCATGATACCACACCGTCATACACTAAACCGCCTGTGAGTTTAGGATAAGGAAAAATACGGAGGAGTAAAACTGTGCCAATAGGACGAGGCTACTTTTTCCCCACTTGCTTTTTCTTCTAGGGTCGACCAAAACCTGAGGCAGAAAAGTACAAACCTCGTAACATGCCAAGTGCCAATTACTTAGGCAGCCAAATTGAGATCACGACATCAAACAGCGAGCACAAGGGTCTCGCTTCCCTCTTCCGCGACACTCAATCTCACCGACGAACACAGTCCAATCCTTGCCTTACAAAATTGCCCAGTACGCGAAACCCTCCTACGCAACACGCAATCGATCATGGTCTTCGCCCTTTGCGAGCGCCGACTTTGTGCCTCTTCAACATTTCCTACCATTTCCCGCACACACGATTTATTCGCACTGCAATTGGCACAGCCAGGGGCGCCGGTAGCTCGGCTGCGGGCTTGCCTCCCTCGGCGCTCGCTAATGGCAAGTGGGCGGCGGGATCTATCGACGACCACCTCCCTGCAGGCGCGCTTGGTCCAACGCCCACAACGGCCATATCAGTTTACGCAGTTGATTCAGCTTTCGGACGGCAGCACATTCACCGTCCGCACAACAAACCCCCATCCTTTGCACCGTTGCAATAAAGATAGCCGCAATCATATCGTCTGGCAGCCGTCGGAAAAGTCACTACGCAATGTTGAGGTTGACGAGGCTGGACGGCTAGCCGCCTTCCGCAACCGCTACGGCCGCAGCTGGGATTCTCTGGCAGACGAAACATCTGAAGGAGAAGACGTTACGCACTTAAAACCAAAGGACCAAACGGCCGAACCATCGGCAAATAACGCGGCCATAGGCAACACGCGCTTGCTAGACTCGCCTGACACGCTAGCCGATCTGCTGAGCGGTTACGCGGCCAAGGAAGAGCCTACGAAAGGCGGAGGACTGAGTGCAAAGGAGCAGGCGAGAAAGGACAAAAAAAAGAAGTGATGGGTATAGGTGCAAGAATCCTGGGTGGCGCGTCCGGTGAAATTGATTGCATGTGAGAGGAGGATGTGTAGCTAATAGGATTACAAAAATAATGTATGAAACAAAGCTACCAGCACAGAAGTCAATTACAACAAAGCCTGCCGTCACCCTCTCTATGTATGTCCATTAGGCATAAGAAACAACAAAGCAAGCGCTCTCTTAACGTGCACCTCCCTGCCGTTCACCTCGCCAAGGTTGCCATTATTGGCCTTTCAACAAAACCTACCCCCACCGTCGTAAGTGAAGCACACTATTATTCGCAGCCGTAAGCATGCACGCTTCCTAGTCTGACTCTTCGTCGATCCGGGCTCTGGCCCGGTCCACCGCCGTGTCTCCAGCTGGTTTGCTATTCGGATGAAAGACGGGGGGCCTGTAAAAGACAGTCTCGTCATCCTCAGCATCAAGCTGCATGAGAAAGGTCTCCCACTTCTCAATCAACTGTATAAGACGGTCAGCGGTTCGTTCTTCTTCAAATTTACGATGGGATCGGGGCAGGTGCGAAATATATAGAGATGAGCATGATACGTGTTTGGCAATCGCACGAACCTCTTTTTGTGCCTCCACTGAGCTTTCCAGGAAAGTCTCCACACCACTCTTGAAATCTTCCACCTTTTCCTTTTCAAACCTGTCCAGCTCGTTTCGCATCAAGCGGCCCATGTCCTCAAAGAGAAGCCTGGCCTGGTGGACTTTCTTTTCTGCATCTGCTACTTCGGCGTTGATTTGGTTGAGACGATCTTGTTGACTCTTGCCCTGCCGTAGAAGTTTGTCCTGTGAAGATTTTCGCTTCTGGAGCTCTGCATCCGCGGTATGCCAACTGTAAAAGGCCTTTTGGCGCTGCGAGAAGGCTTGCTTGATGCTACCAATCAAGCGAATGTACTCATCAATGGTGATACCGAAGGTGAGCACATCCTGCTGGGCTTGACGATCATAGACATCGCGAATGGTTACCTGCAAGTCCGAGAGGGCCTCCAGCGGGCCCGATAATCCTGGCGACAGTTCGACGGTGGATAAAGCGTGTAACGATGCAGCGAATTCTCCCGCTGCTTCGGCCATAGCCTTGCGCTGGTTCACCATTGTGTCCATAGCCTTCAAAAGCGCCTTCAACTGGTTTTCCAGTGCATCTAAATAGATCTTGCGATCGTGGAACCACTTCAAAAAGATAAGTTAGCGATGCCAACCAAACACACAATGCGAAAGATCGGCCTTAATGTGTAAGGGCAATATAAATAGAAATGACGGAAGGCAGAGGGAAGAGAAAAGAAACCGACTCACATCATCCTGCTCAACAAACTTGACGCCACCACCAACGTTGATACCCAAGCTGCTCATGATGCCTTTGCTTTCACCCAGATTGGGCTCTTTGCGTTCTTTGTGCTTCACATCGACGTTGAACGCCTCGCTCTCTAAAAACAGTTTAAGGTCGCCATCATGCTGCAGCGTTGGGTGCGCAGCAGCCTTGTTGAGCATTTTCTCGAGGGCCGCCCTTCTTGATTCAACAAAGTTGCTTTCGAAGCGGCCCATAGCCTGCTTCTCTGGCGGAGGGGGAACGACAACACCTGGGCTATTAGCATGCAGCTGGTTATACAGCCACAGGAAATCGCGGTAGCGTCTGTTGACGACGAATTCCCCATGCTTGTAAGCTTTAGAAGTGGTCTATGACAATATTGTTAGTGATGCGGACAAGATATTATTTTATACATAGCAAAACTGCCTCGGCCCAAGAAAATGAAATAATATGAATAAAACAAACCAGAAAAAATACCTTTGTCTTGACACTGTACTCAATGTGCGAACCCGTAGCACCACCAACCTTGTGCGGGTCACCGACAGTAATTGAGAATGTCGGTTTCGCAGCCTGCTCAACGCTAACGCTCGGCCGGCTCGTCGTTCGAATTGGACTCAGCTGCGCGGCAGCGACGGGGGGGGGCGCCCTCGGTGCCCTACCATAATTATTGTCGGCGTCGTCATCGACGATGCGATGCGGGTCCGGTGGGCCCCGTGCTGTTCCACCGGATGTCGTCGGTATAGTTGTGCGCAAAGGTAAGGATAACTCCTTCGAGGGAGGCACGGGCGGGGACTCCAAGCCTCCCAAGCTGGTAGCATTACCGCCAGCCTGTACTGAAGTGCTGCCGGCAGATCCCAACGGGCCGAGCGGATCATCCTCGACCACCTGTAGGCGCGTGGGTTGGGCCACAAGCCGACGAGGTGTTACGCGCGACGATCGACCCCCCGAAGAGGACATGGCCGATGACGGCGTTAGGGAGGTTGGCTTGTTAGACGCAGTCGACGAAGTTATCGCCGCGTCGTCATCTAGCGCTGTTGTCACGGAGGTGGTTGATTGAGGGGGAGTGTCGGCCCATGGAGCTTCTTCGAGGGGGTCCATGGCAAGCAATGGGATACTTGGACGGTCAGAAATAGCATCATAAAGGTGTAGAAGGTATTGTCTGTAGCTTGGCCTTGACTTACTGCTGCTCGTACTTTATCAGTAGCGAGGTGTGCCGTAGAAAATAGGGAATCAGGAATCAAAGTCAAATATGTGTGTTTGTGAGAAAGACGCCGGGGCCCTTCGCTGGGTTTGGAAATCTAGGCGGCTTACTCCGTGCGGGATCTGGGTGCAGCAAGGTACTGTGCGGCGAGATTGACGCACGCGCGAAGCTCCCCTCCCCCTGTGACAACGGCTATAATCGCTCATTTATTTGCTCAGCAGCGCAGACGACAACAAGTTCCAACATCCAACAGCGCACAGTGCGCGAACCCCTTAGTTGGCATCTGCCTGTTCCGTTTCTGAGCACAGTTCTCCACATGTTTGGGGCAAAAGGTGACGTGAAGGCTCCAGTATACAACAATCCGGAGTACATTCGTACGCATCAATATATACATCGGTGCCTTTTTATGTTCTAAAATTCACAGATGCACAAGTAAAACATTCTGTTGATGCGGATACAAGGCGACGCAAAGAATGAGCATATCAACAAATGTCGTACATAACAATCATGATGGCTTTCAACCCCCTAGAACGGACAGTACGATACCTACCCTCGCTCCCCTTTGCACATAAACACAGATGTGGCACTTTTGAATGTTCGCTTCTGGCATAGGTTGCCAATACTCCATGTTCTCGAATCTGCACCGGACAAACAGCCAAGCTCCTATTTAATTCCCTCTAAACACTGTTCCCACGCGCTCTTTTGACTACATATCGTACGCCATGCGCCTTGTTAAAAGCAGGACGACCGCGGAACTAAACGCCCAGTACTCAATTACGCCAAAGACGCTGGCTAGCAGTTTTCTTACCTCAGCGCACCTTTACCTACCAGGCTTGCGCAGTGTTCACGGGTCAAAACACCCGCTTGCAACAACGAGATTCATCCTTGTGAACTCTGCGCGCAGAATCGGTGTCTTTTTGGTGGCAAATGCGCTGATCTGATCAGGTGTTATTGTCACCTCTTTTCCTTTCTTCTTGCCCGCCCCACCGTTGTTTGTACCGCTCGCCGCACCGGCCGCGGTTGCTGCCGTGGCCGGAGACGGCGGCTGGCCGCCAACTGTGATGCTACGGTCCTGAGAGCTAGCCCCGGTTAGGGACTCACCGCCTGTCCCACCAATGTCTCCTGACTGGTTTGACGAGGCAAGAGCTGAGCCCGGCGCTGTCCCCAGGGCGGCCGGGGTTTTGCTGGCGTCCTTTGGAAGGTTGATATCCCACAAGCGAAGGGTGCCGTCCAGGCCACTAGAGACGAGAACGGTTGACTCTGCACTAAAACTCAGGGACGATATGCCGCCTTTTGCGTGGCCCCGGCATCGTTTGATGCGAGTTCCCTTCGTGATATCCCAAATGATAATGGTCCCTCCAGCGTCGGCACTTGCGAGGATCCTACCATTCGGCGCGCATTCTAGTGCACTGATGTAGTCTGTGTGGCCAGTAAAAACTCGGACGCAATCGCCTTTAATGGCGGACCACATGCGAATGGTTTTGTCCGTTTCATCGGATGCCGAAAAGACGTAAGTCCCGTTGGAGTGCCAGGCGATTGCCGATATGCTAGTGTTGTGGCCTACAAGCAGCCGCTGTGCTGAGGCATGATCTTGTGTGAAAATACGAACGGTCTTATCCCAACCAGCAGTCAGAAAGTAATGGCCGTGGGGGCTCCAAAGTACCCGGAACACCGGACCTGTATGAGATTTGTAAACACAGAGACAGGACCAGACATCCAAGCTCCACAAACGAACTGTGCCGTCGGACGAGGAGGATAGGAGAAGCTTTGAGTCCGTTTCGACGGGCGGTTGTTTCTCGTCAAATGGGTTGTATTTAAGCCCAGTCACGGCATCGGAAAAGGAGAGCCCATACACAGGGCCTGAGTGCCCAATGAGCTTCCGGTTATTTGTTTTGTCTGTGTCCCCGAGCATCCTGCTCTTCAAGGCCTTCCCATCAATGCTCCATACGCGGATATACGAATCCATTGAGCCATAAGCAACAAGCTGATGATCCTTTGAAAAGGCCATTGACGAAACGCTGTCACCAATCAAGTCAGTATTGACGAACAGACGAACCCTTCTTCTTTTAAAAAAGAAAAGAAAAGAGAGAGAGAGGGAGAGAGAGAGAGCCACAAAGATATAGCAGTTTAACGAACCTTCCGCATGTGTTGTGGAATGTGAACATGCACACTGAAACTGGGACGCCGACACCTCCGGTCCGATCTTCAATTTGGAACCGATCTCGGGTCTCGCGTATCTTCTGCATTTCGATGACAACATCTCTGGCACGAGATGGCGGAAGGGGAAGGTCGGTACGTGAGGGACCGTCTGCTCCCTCCTCTTGCTTGATCTTTGCATCAAATTCTGATACAAGAGACGGAACACCCGCCGCGGGTGGTTGTCGCTGGTCTTGTTCCTCAAGCTCGGCACGCACATCATCGCGTAGTTCCAGCTCCATGGGAAGTGGGCCCAGTTTCAACGCCGCGTGTGTGTCCAAGATGTCCCGGTTGCTGACACCCGTGAAAACGCCCGGGATTCCCTCCCGAACATCAGCTTCATCTAGATCAGCGTTCTGAGCTCGGCGGGCAATTGCCTCGAAGCTATAGGGCTCAATCGGTCCGCGGGCAGTTGAGTCGACCTGGCAGTATGTTTGTAGTAACAGTGTGATAACACTACCACCCGCATCTTCTTGTCGCTCAAGAAACCCAAAGAGCTGGCCGCTGACATGCTGATTGAGTGGAATGCGATATTTATTACCACGGTAGATCTTAGTCGTGGGATTCTCTGTGACGTGGATGGGGAGCTGAATTGTCTCGAACGCGCGCAAGTCGTCTGCATGGGTGTTTTCAAAATCAGACCAAACGTCTTTTAGAAACAGCTTGGACTCCTGTACAAAGTTTTGTTCGACCATGTCTAAAAAGGAGTAGACAAAAACAGGCCATAAAAGCTTCCTCAACTCAAACTAAACAGCAAACCATCAGTACGCCTTCGTGGTGCAAAGCCAAAACTCGCGGATTCTAAACTAGAAAAACCTTACCTTGTACAAATCAAGCCCATTCTCGATCCAATCCTTTAGAAGATGAAACGACTTAGGGTAGCGTTCAGGCCCCATGTCATCAACCTTCCTCCGAATCGGCCGGCCGTCTGGATTCACATTAGATGACTCTTTTCTAAATGTTGCTTCGGTTTTCGTGAATCCCTTCTTCAGCAAATAGTCTGTGACCTAAATGTGAGGGGAATTAGTCATATTCAGAGGCACAGCAATCAACGTCGCGTTCATTCAACGGCGGACCCACAATCTTGTTCAAATCAGACGGGGAGTTTGTTAATGCTTGGGATTGCCCCGAGCCACCAGCAGCGGACGGCCCTGTGCCAGTGCCATGCTGGCCGTTGTTCCCGTTCGACGCCGACATGGGCTACTTCAGATGCAGCGCGTTGTGTATCGTACGCGTCGGCGTGCCCTTGTACAAAAGTTGCGGAAAGTCGATCGCACTCAACTTTGTGTCGATGGCCGTCAAGTCAGCGCCCGGAGGGAGGTGGCAAGCAGATGAGGTGCGTGTTAAAAGAAGTTTATGTCAACGGTGCGTTATTTGATCGTCGCTCCGTTGTGTCGCCATGAAGGAGAATGCGCATGCGGTGGTCTTGTTAGCGATAGACGAAATAATAGTAATTGTGCGTTAAGCGTTAGCAGTTCACACTTGCACCTCTGCTCTATGCACCATCTATGGATACATGCATAATTTATATTGGTTTATCGGAACTCTCCACTTCTGGACTAGGCTAATGGTGGGCTAGTTTTGTCGCTGGCTTTGACGTGAACCTACTCTTTCAATTAAACAGACATTTCCGAATGGAGAGTGCAACGGACGACAACGCCGGCGGTAAGCCACATGCACCCGGCGTGCATGAGCCATTCACGCTCGCTGAACGATTTCAGCAGCTGGCGGTCATCGATAATGTGCGCGGTAATCTCCTTCTCAGCTTCTCGAAACGATCTCTTCTCACGAGTTCCCTGATTGTCTCCGTGTTACGCTAGGTAGTTTGACGACTAACGTGGCATCTGCCTTTTCTACTTGGTTTTCTAGGAAATAATCAAGCTCCTATCACTCGCAAACGACACGATCCACCCACTGTCTAGCCCTGACAAAGCGGTCAGCGCAGATACAACGGGAACAGCACCAGGCATGGACAGGGCTGCAGACGCTCACACCGAGACACAGGTTGCTACTTTCAAGGAATCTATGGACAATTTCCTGAATACGCTGCATTCAGTTGACGTTCGGCTCAAGCGGCAGATCTGGGGTCTCGAGGAGGCGGGGTTGATATCGCTGAAAGAGTCCAGGTCGTCCGGGGTTTCTTTGGAGCCTAATGGCGTTGGTGACATTGGTAGTCTGGATGTTGGTTGGCTGAATAGCCGGAGCAACAAGGTCGATCGTGAAATGGAAGCTGAATTGTGGTCCACGATGAGGGCCACTGTGGAACGACTCAGCCAGAATGACTCTGGTCGGAGAGAAGCAGGTGCTGAAAAGTGACCTGGTTGCACACCTTCCTAACCACGCCTCTAAATAAGAAAGGCATTCGTGGTAGCGGTTTGAGTACTCTAATTTGAAAGCATTGGGCGGGATGGATGCGGAGTTTGGGTATATTGGAACATTGGGGCACAGGCGCATAGTCACATCGGCGTTTCGGTCTATTTTGGGGGCCACGTTGAGCAAGAACAGGACTTCTGGGAACCTGTGAGTCTGGAATCTGGACCCATTTTGATCGCCTTGGCGGCTGTTTGCGTCATGCTCTGAACTTACAGTGAACCACCGATACCCGTAGTTATGTCTCAAGCCAGATTTTTCTCTGCGTCGGGACGTTCTCGCAAACGCACCATGTAGTAAGTAATACAGGCAGCGAATGAGATGTGCACGCACGCAGCAATGGATGCCGACAACACAAAGGCCCTCTCAATGCAGGGTTTGGCTGGAGGATGGGAGTAGCTAGAGCTGAAAAGGACGTATTATTACTGCCAACCAGGGCTTAACGGAGAGGCTCATTTACACAGCTTGCGCATTTTCTTATCTGCTCGATAAATGGATACCCCGGTTACACAGGGAAGAGTGATAATAGGTTAGCAGTGGATTAATCCTCGGGTCCTTGACGCAGGTTTGCTCAGTTGCTATCTTGTCACGAAAAGCGGAGGACGTTTCGAGCCACATACGAGATAAGATTTTAAACTCAAAATCGGCGGTATTATGGCTCGCAGCTGTCGGACAGGGGACGCCGTTTCCAATAGATACCCCGACCACCTTGCCCTTAATGGAAGAGGTGAGGTCTACCTGGTGACCTAGGGATAGAGTGTGCTTTCGCTGGCCTTTTCCAGCTCGGTAGCCACCAACGACATTAGCGCCATCACCACGTGGTATCAGAGAACCTGCCTATTCCCCGGCGTCATTAAAAGCATCACGCACCCAAGTCCGACCGATACGTGTTTCTTTCGTGTTTTTTTTTGTGTATCTCCTTACAAAATCCCCGAACGAACCTACTACGAAGGTGATACACATAAATGCCATACGCTGTACGGAGTACGCCGTAATATGTCGTAATACGTTGCACCTAGTAATTACCTTACAATGTGCGCTCCCCGCCATCTTCACCGTGGGGGGTAGTGTCGGAAAATAACATTGTCTTGATTCCGTGTCTTCCACTTATTTACGGCGCATAGTCCCCCATCCCCTTTCCAACCCCTACCCCAAAAACTTGTTGTAATCAATTCGCGTTGTAATTAGGACGTCTGATTAGGTACAGTGAAAGTATGTGGCACACCTGCAAAGCTACCCAACTGTCCTAGGTGAAAATATGCTGTTGCTGTGGCAGCTTCATGACTTGCGTCTACCGATAACCTGCGTTGATCTCAAGTCGCTCTCTCTCGTGTTTTCGGCCTTCGCGGTCCTTTGCGCCTCCTTTGTTAGTTTTATCCTTTTCCTGCTCTTGTCCATTACTTGCCTTCTTTGATCGAGCAACCCACCTGACCTCTTACCTCTCGTTACCTGTACCTCATTAATCAACATCAGCCCTTCCACTTTTTTTTCCCTTTCCACGGTGCTCTGCCACGCTCCGCGGCACTACAACATTGCTTATCTTGCAACTCCCTCGGCGCCACCTCGCTGCTGGCCTGTTATGTCTGCCATGGCATCGCCGGCTGGCACAACTCCCATGGCCACTGTCCTCGCAACGGCTGTCGCCTTAACAGCAGTGTTTGCTCTGCTCAGAAGGGCCCTCTATCCAACCAGAGTCAAAACCATCACAGGCCCTCTCCGGTCAATCCTACCCCAGCTATCGAGCGACCAAATAGCTCAGCTAGAGTATCCACCTAATATCTTTCCCGGGGCCCGAGATGTTGCGACACCGGTAAGTGATCCCCACAGTGGCATGCCGATATACGTACTCGGCTCACCTGGCTAACTCCCGCTTCGTAGTATGGCTCCATCCGTGTATATGAATTCGGACCTGTCACTGGCCGCAAGGTCTTGATGGTACATGGTATCTCGACCTCCTGCCAGACTCTCGGTCGCATTGCCCGCCAGCTCGTCGACTGTGCCGGCTGTCGAGTGATGTTATTCGACTTATTTGGCCGTGGTTTCTCCGATGGTGTCGGCGACTTGCCTCACGATGCGCGTTTGTATTGTTCCCAAATGCTATGTGCTCTCGCCTCCTCACCCGTGGCATGGACCGGAGATGGTGCCTTCGACCTCCTTGGCTACTCCATGGGTGGCGGGGTAGCTGTTCATTTTGCGACTGCTTTCCATGGCATGCTGCGTTCCCTCATTTTGCTGGCCCCTGCTGGCCTCATTCGGCCACAGCGGTTTGGTGTGGGCGCCCGACTTATCTTCACCTCCGGCATTGTTCCTGAGCGCCTCTTATCGTATCTCACCCGGCGTCGTCTGCGTAGGCCACTTGCAGACGGGCAGAAGGCGAGAGAGCGGCAGGTTTTGGCTGAAAAGAGACCACCTGCAGTGCTGACCACGGACGAAGGCACCGTAAACCCCCTCGAAGTGGCTGTGACAGAGACCACAGACAAGCGCGGTACCGCCGCAGAACCTCATACCCCCGAACCTCAGGGCGTCATCTGGAGTCTGCAAGTGGGGCGGTATGTTCGGTGGATGCTGTCTCACCATGATGGTTTCGTGCCCGCCATTATGAGCTGTATTAGAGATGCGCCTCTTGTTGGCCAAGAGGCCTCGTGGACAGAACTAGCACGGCTCGTGCGTGGCGGTGATACAGCGGACGGTAAGCGACAGCTTCCTCTTTGCATTGTCCTTGGCCGCCATGACAACGTTGTGGATGCGTGTGACTATGAAAAAGACGCATTGCCGATGTTTGGCGGTTCGGGATCCAGCAACGTAACTTGGACCGTGGTGCCAGGTGGCCATGACTTCCCAATGACATACTCAAGACACGTGCTCCGAGCTATTTTTGATTTCTGGGTCGAGCCGAGCACCACTGTGGCCAAGCTCGAGGCTGTGGATGAGAGAGAGCTCTCAATGGAGGGACATTTGATAAAGCTGGGCCTGGGCGCGACTGCTAACAAAATCGAGAACGGTAAGGTGGAAGGTGGCAAGTGTAGGCCGGCAAGCATAGAGAGTATTCCTTGAACTACTCGTATATGGGTACGCAATGGGGTTTTCTCTCGACGGAAAAAATTGTCAGGTTATCACTGACCATGCTTGTTTGGGTTCCGCCTTACTAGATAATTTAATTGGACGTCCTTTAGGTCAAATAGATTCACAGTAGAAAGGAGCGACGAACAATTAAACAAGATTACACATAATATTAAAACTCAAAACTACAAATAAAGTATATGCTGAGGGGTTCTAAAATGAAAGTGACGTCCAAAATTAAATCAACGAGATAAAGCGTATACAAATACACACAAGAATGGAGTTGGGGACACACATAAATAGCTCGACACAGCCCGTCTTTCGACAAAGCCTAATATAAAGCGGAGAGAGCAGTATAGACGGAGCAGTTGGAGAGAAGTTGGTGGCGAGCGTTGGAAGGTGCTCGTATGGACCCCAGCAAAGCAAAAGGGATAAAATCACAAACATACCTCAATGACAAACTATTTATCAAGGGCTTGACTTTGGCACTGTGAATGATTAGACGACAAGAAGAAATAGAGCAAGAAGATTTGACCAGGGTGATAAATCATCCTGAGTGAGGGTAGAAAAAAACAAATACGTACCATGCTCCAATACACACCGCGCTTGCTTAAAAGGCTAGAGTGGTTGCCCGTCTCAAGCACCTCACCATCACCCAAGACGTAAATAACGTCTGCCTTTTGGATGGTGCTCAAACGATGCGCCACAGCGACAGTCGTGCGTCCCTGGGCAATGCGTTCAAAAGTGGCCTGAATCGTCTTTTCGGTGTCTGAGTCGAGAGATGACGTTGCCTCATCCAGCAACAGCACGCGGGGGTTGCGCAAGAGTGCACGCGCAATGGCCACACGTTGTTTTTGACCGCCCGATAGCGAGATTGCTTTGCTACCAAGGTCCGTGTTGTATCCATCTGGCAGAGACACGATGAAATCGTGAATAGATGCATCGCGGCAGGCCTGGACTATGTCGGCTTCTGATACGGCGTTCTCTTCAACGCCGAGCAGCACATTTTCCCGGACTGTGCCCTGGAATAGGGCAGGCTCCTGCGCAACTAATGACAAAAGCTTCCGATATGTCTGGACGTTGACCTCCGTGATATCCCGTCCGTTACAAAACACGCCCCCCTTTTCCACGTCGTAAAAACGCTCGAGCAGGGCGATAATACTTGTTTTACCAGATCCCGAGGCGCCGACAATGGCCGTGAATTTTCCCCGTTCTATTGTTAAGTTGAGTCCGCTGAAGATGGGCACGTTGCGGGTGGGGTAACGGAAGTGAACATTTCGCAACTCTAAGCAAGCACCACGGTTTCCGATGCGGGCGTCGTCCGCTGCATCTGTATCCGGTAGGCGTTCTGTCAGAGGCACCTGGTCGACGCTCTTCGTCTCCCGTATTCCGAGAATTCGATTAGCTGCAGACGTGACCTGAGCGGCATTTGGAAGAAAGCTTAGGCCCTGGCCAGCGGACTCCGCGCCTTGGATTGCAGCCATGTAACAAACGAAAAAGCCTGTAGCCGAATATTCACTATCCAGTTGCAAAAGTTGCGAAATTTATCAGAGAGAGCCCAGATACATGCACACGGGGCCAAAACCAGTACTTACCCAGTCGATATGAGATGGCCACCATACCAGAAAACAAGGGCCTGGCAAGCAAGCGAGATGGCTAATATCTGTCAATACAATGAAGACTTCATAGGACGTGAAGAAACACACACACACATAGAGAGAGAGAAAGAGGGGGGGGCGGGGGTGTTCATGAATATGGCAACGCAAAAGGGTGAACATACAGTTACTCAAGGCGAATATGAGAGTTTTGAAACGTGCCTTCTTGAACGCGTCGTTTACATGCTCAGCAAGTAGAACCTCATACCGCTTGCAGATCACCTCCTCAAGGGTAAGTGCTGTGACAGTTCGGAAGGCATCAATACTTTCGGCCGCCCACTTAGAGCTCTCCGCAAACACAGCGGCATTCATGCTTTCGAACTCGATTTCATACCGCACGCGATAGAATCCAGATATAAGCACCAGCGGGACAACAACAGCAAAGGCAAGCAAGGCCAGTTTCCAGCCGAAGACGAACGAGATGATAAGTGAACCCACGATGGTGAAAACGGATGTCGCAGCCATGGACATGTTACCTCCAAGCAGCTGTCGCAGTTGTTTTGGATCACCACCAACGTGGTTCGTCAGGGTTCCCGATGCGTTTTTTTCGTTGTCGAAGAAAGCAATGCGCTGCTGGACGATGGAAACGAAGTACTGCTCTCGGTAGATAGCGCAAATAAAGTGTTCCACGAATGTAGCTACAAAGCCAAGTCCGAAATAAGCAACACCGGTCCCGATAGCCAACACGAAGAACATGAGCGAGTTGAAGTTGCCGTCGTGGCTTACCTGGTCCATAGTGAGGCCTGTATTGCCATCGACGATTAAGTTTAGCTCGCCGAAAATGACAACCAACTTGGCGAAGAGAAAAGCTTGCAACGGAGATGACGAAGCAGCGCCAGCAGCAAATAAGACCAATGCAGCGTAGTATGGAAAACCAGACCGCTGCTCGTAGAGCAGTCGGCCAAAGCTACCAAAGAAGTTTGTGTCTCTCCACGCAGCACCCAGGGGTCCAACTGCTCCGACGGGTGGCGCATTGTCAGCGCTGTCCAATATATCGTTTGAATTGTCGCTTGCGGCCGTTTCATCACCGCCCGCATGGCCATGTTTATCATTAACTACTGCGCCTGTGTCATCACCGTCGCTCACAGTGATTTCCTTCTTAGTGGTGGCAATATCGTCACCAAGCGATAGCTGCTGTGCAGTCACAAGTCGATGATAAACACCGTTTTGATTTTCCAAGAGACGCTCGTGTGTGCCTTCCTCGACACACTGGCCTTTTTGGAGCACGATAATTTTGTCTGCCGATTTGATGGTCGACAGTCGGTGAGCAACGGTGATGGTTGTGCGGTTGCGGGACACTTTGTCGAGCGCGGCCTGGACAACGCGCTCGCTGCGCACATCAATGGCTGAGGTGGCCTCGTCCAAAATAAGAATTTTCGGCTTTTTGACGATACTCCGGGCGATGGCTATGCGCTGGCGCTGACCTCCGGACAGCTTGGCACCCGACTCGCCCACCCGCGTTTGGTAACGCTCTGGGAGACGGTTAATAAATTCATCAGCGAAGGCTTCTTTGCAGGACTCTTCAACCAGCGCCCGTTTCTCGTCATCAGTTGCATTTTCATATGGCGACCCAACCAGGCCAAAGGCCACGTTGTTGAAAATGGAGTCATTAAATAAAAAGGGCTCCTGCTGCACTAGGCCAATTTGTGAGCGCCACCACTTGACATCGATCTCGTCAAGGCTGTGTGCACAAGTGGAAACGGAACCTTTAAGCTCGATTCGGGGAAGGTCAGCGGCGACGGGGTCGGTTTTGGCATCTCCGACCGATCGGCCACTCTTGTTGTTGGTATCCGTAGTCGCATTGCACTTTTCCTCTCGTTGTTTCTTTTTGTTCTTGGCGTCTTTTTTGACCTGATTCTCGAGCTCTTTTTCTTCAGCTTCCTTTTTCTTGTCTTTTTGGGCCACCTTTTCGATAACGTGCTGGTCATTCCGCAGACTATACCATCGCTCAATGAGACCAATAATGGTGCTCTTGCCAGAGCCAGAGGGCCCTACAATGGCATTGACTTTACCTGCAGCAATGCGAATGTTCAGGCCATCAAGCACTTTGACGTGCGGGCGGCCTGGATAAGCAAAGTCGACGTCCGAAAAAACGATGTCCTCGGTGGCAAACACGTCGGGTTCGGCAAGCCGTCCGGAGACGGCCCGTGGTGCGTCGATGACTGCGAAAAACTCCCCAGCTGCCACCATAGCTTTAGACGCAGCAATCAGCGGCGTGGCGACGCGCTCCATGGAGACAATGGTAGTGATTACAGACATGACAACCACAATGACAGTGCCAACGTCGTGAATGCGGCCCTCACGGAACAGCCTCATACCGAACCAAAAGGCCAATGCAAAGCCACCGTACAGCGAGAAGAAGACGTTGCCAAACATGGAAGCCAAGAAGGGCGCCATGTGTTGGCCATGTTTTCGGGCTACTTGAACCCACTCGCCATACTTGCGGGCCATCTTGTCTTCGGCGCCACAGGCCATCAGCATGCGGATGTTGCCAAAGGATTCGGAGGCAATGGAATTGGCAACCGTTTCAGCACGTGTCAAACTAGCCTCGGATTTGACAACATAAGGCAAAACAATAGAGACGACGACAAGGATGTAGACCAGAACGGACGAAATGACTAGAGTAAGTAGCCAGCTGTACGTAAAGGCGACAATTATAGATGCGAGAATGCAGGCAGCGAATTCAATGAATGTGCCAAGATTCTCAGAAATTCCTAGCTGCAGAGTATTGGCAGTGGTGGTAATGGTGTTCGCCGCGGCCCCAGAAGGCATGGAGTCCAGGACATGGATGGTCTGGCCGAAGAGGCAGCAGAGATAATCGAGGCGGATGGCGGCTGACATGCGAGCACTGATCATGCGAAAGGAGAACTTGTTGATGTAGTTAAGAATGAACCGGGCCAGGAACAGAATGAAGATGTATAGGGACTGTCTGTTGAGACCGTTTTGGAATGATTCGGCGTCTAGGCATAAACACTTTTAGTTAGATCATGGGTTTACTTCGTGAAGGCTAAGGAAACGACCTCGACGAGCGGCTAGCGGAGAAAACAAGCTTACCGGAGCTGTCACGAGGAGAGGTACTAAAGTTTCCGACCAACTTGCCAAAGACGACGTTCATAAGAGGAAGGGTCTACGGGGTCAGTGTCACACGAACAGGGCTAAGGAGCAGAGACAAGGCGGACGACATACGATGCCAGAGCCGATGGAGGATACGCAGGCAGCCACCATCAGGAACCAGTCAACTTTGTTGGCATATGAGAAAACACGGAGGAAGTCTTTAAAGGTCGGTTGACGCTCCGATACAGTCCCGGCCGCCTTCAGGGGCGCCGGCGCTAGGCAGGCAGCGCTGACCGTACTGTCATCATGGTGTCCTGTGATGTCGGCTTCCTCGTTGGCTGCGGAGCCCGGCGCGGTCGGTGCGCCGTTGTCATCGGAGGGGCCAGGTGTAGACTTGGGCGATTGGCTGTTTTCGGCGGCCATCATGCTGTCGCGATATGCTGCCTCAGTGCCAGACACGGTCGACGAAGATCGGTTGGAGGGGCTTGGTAGTCAACAATGGCGAGTATCATTGCGCCCGAGATCTGGCCCTACAAAATCAAAGGAACGCGGAAATGGGTGAATAAATACGTGGAACAGAAAATGAAAAATAAATAAATAAATAAACAAATCGATGGAGAGAAGTAGAAGGGAAGGAAGGAATGGCCGAACGACAAGATGAACAGCAGCGAAAAATGGCAAGGGCCACTACCTTCTTCAAGTACCCGGAGAAACGACAGAGTCGTGTAACGTCGATGACATTGAAAAGTGTCCAAAAAAGGGACAGTAGTCTCCTCTTGCATTTGTTCACCAGTCAGAAATAAGACACGACGAGGTGCGCCGTTGTCGACAGAATAAAGTTCTTCAGGCAATTACGCCCTTTGTATTACTTCGGACAAATGTATTTACTCCGAACCACGGGATGATTCGTTTTCGCAGGGTCCGCGAGGCAGCAGCACTGTCTTCACGGACTGCAGTTTCACTGACTTTCGTCTTACGTGCTGTCTCTCGGAGTCTTACAGCGCCCCGGCCGGCCGCCATTTTACAGGCCGACCGACTAGGGCACTGGTCAAGCACACTAATATGCGTTCCAGCGTATTTCGTATATGGCCTTAGCCCCTAACAGGGGCACAGCACCAGACATAATCTTATGTTTTGTCAGTCCTACTTGTAAGAATGTTTTCAGCGTAAATCGTATTACCACCCAAGACGTTTTGACATAAGAATTCCTACAGCGAACAGGAGGCCCCCAAATAGTGGTCACAGTTTCTGCCTCGGACGGACGACCCACCAATCGGCACATCTTGGCACCCGTCAAAAAAACAATATAAGGCCCCTACAGTAACTGATTTAGGAGCTGCGGCCCTTGTTCTAAACTCAACTTTTTAGTGTATCTAAAGAGTAATCGTAATACGGGATCCATTTGCCCCGTGTTTTCCTTTCCAGTTATTACAGACCACTACTTTACACACCTTCGCACAACCACTCCTTCGTGGCTGGCCTTGATCCTGCCCGTCTCCGGCCCCAAAGGTCGTCAACAGCACGCTCGCCACGAACGGATGTGACTCGGCAGTGTCCGACGGTCTATCGTCCGACTTCCAGGTTCCGTGGTTGTCCCCCACTTGCCAACCTTCAATTCCTGTCCGACTTCTTAATATCCCGCCCTCGCCTGGACATGCATCGCACGCTGTGCCTGTCGCATGCACACCTGAGATTTTAGAGCTAGGGTGTTACAGCGTCTTCCCCCGTACTTACGGCACAAAGATACCTTGGGCTGCACCGCAACGTTTCCAGACGCGGCGACAGGTGACCTTGTGCGTTCGCGCGTCTAGAGCGAAGGTCAAAGCTCGATTTGCATATTTTCTTCTGCGGTGTATTACGATTACTTGCACACGGCATAGTTATTCCCTTTGGCTGATAATTGTGCCAGTGCCCTGGAGAATTCTCACCCCCCTTTTTTAATGTCTCTTTGAACAGCTATTATGCAAGTCTGGTCGGCTCTAACAGCGCGATTCTCGGTTTCAAACCTAGTCGTACCACCAAAATGGCTCAGGACCGGACGCAGCGCATGAGCGGCCAGCTGCAGGCATGTTTTTCGATCTTATCCTTAATGCTGGGATCAAGCGGCCTACCACCTCATATCTAGCTCTAGCAAGCTGGATTTTGACGTATCACAATAGTTGTAATGGTCAAGGCACATGCTGCTTTGATGTGTAACATCTGTCTATTCCTAATCCTATAATCACCTTTTTTAATATCAAAGGGACAGTTTACATTTCGTCAAACAGATCCTGTAAACAGTTCCTTTGTGATAGACAAACGCCCTGGTCGATGCCAGGCTTTCGGCTTCTTGCTCTTTCTTTTTTGACTACTCTCGTCACGCGTTCCGTTTTTCTCTTCTTTTCCTTTCCCTTTTCTTTTCCTTCTTGTTTTACTTTTTTTTTGTCGTAACTGATGTTGTTTGATAGGCCCAAAAATACCCGCCAAATATTATCCCTTGATCTCTGACGCCCTTTGAACACCGAACCGCCCCTAACTCAAACAAGGCATGGATGAGACATGTAGACCATCTCATATGGCACATGCAAACTGCCGCACATGATGTGGCTGATGTCCGTTCAACCCGATTTCAGAGAGCCGGACCAAAGTGGATGCAGGGAGGCAGACTTTTCGAAAATGTTCTGGCGCCAGCGGAGCAAAGAGGCACACGCGATATGCGCTGTGCAGTACAGAGAAGATACGCGGAATAGTGATATTTCGTGGATCCGCGACCGTCCGTGTAGGCTTGCTGTCCCCTTGCATATACCAACTCGTGGCAAAGGGCGGTGTTGGTTGACAACGCGGTACGTAACCTTGAACTAACCATCATCTAAATAAACACGGAGGCGAGCACACCTGGGAAAAGAAACAGGACGGTCGCAGACTGCAGCTGCCTATTGCAGGGCTGTTGATGTTGTTGCTTTCTTGCCCTGGCATTTGTGCTATTTTGCCTTCGCGTTTTAACTACAGCGAAAGTTTCCATTCGACCTGCCTAAGGGCAGTTTGCATAGTGTGCGTCTTTCTTGGACTCGGGGTGAATTCATAAGCAACTTCAGTTGTGTCTTTTAATCGTTTATTCTGTATTTGTTTTATTTTGTGTGTTTTGGGGGATTATGTTTTATGTTGGCCAATGCAAGTCCCTATTAGGCAAAGCTTGGTCCAGGAGCGACCCAAGCGGCAGGATCCCTGCGTCGCGAGCGCACGCGCCAAGCAGGTGCGCTTAGCGCAGGGAGTTGGCGTAGCACACAGATGGCGTTCACGCTATTACAGCGAGGGGCCTGGCCACGATAGTTATACGTGTGTGGGGCGCTCCCTGTTCTGTGCATACTATGTGAGTCGTAATTATTGGCTCCGGTCTGCGATTATGCCGCCACTGATTTGAATGCTTGAGGCTGTCTTTCACCATCGTTTATTATCCAGGCAATGGCCCCATTGTTCGCTTTGGATTTAACTTCAGACTTGCTATATGCTTCCCTTATTCTTGAGTCTGCTTTTAGACTTTCCTCAACCCCCTCTACCAGTAAGCTTGCCTGCCCATCTCCACCAATACCAGCCATCCTACATAGTATACGGCGTAAGTTGAATACATCGTACCTTGTGCAACATATAAGTATTCCTGATTGCTTGGCCTACTTTCCACGGCAATTGGCTTTCTGTGTGCCTGTTCCACACACAAGGCTCTGGCATTTCAGCCCCAGTTTTGCAACGCATCCCCTTAGCCGGATTTGATTTCCTCGCCTGATCACCAGCATCGTCGCATCCTCCTTCTGGGTACTCCTGGCCGTTCCAGTCGCTTCCCGGTACGCTTTTTATGGTGCATTTTGCCGTGTGCCAGCTCCTTGACTTTTTGGGTGGCTTATTATTTCGACCTCTTCCCTTGCAGTCTTGTGGAAGTCTGAAGCACGTCTAGGCGACAGTTTATCAGCCTAATTGGCTCGATTCATTTTCTTACGCCTGATACAAGCTGCTGCCCGGTCGCTTCCCGCCCTTGAGCCTGGCAACAGCCATTTGTTTGGCGACTGCCGATCACGGAAATCTGCCCCTTCCCGGACTTTTAATCACTTCGAGAAGACGAGAACCTCGAGGAGGCTTCAGGCGCAGGCGAACGGCACACCCCCATCCCGTCCTTTTCGGTCCCATCCTTGCCTGTCCTTGCCCCGGACTAAGAAACCTCGAATACCAAGAACCACTTATATCATATCCCCTCCCTTCTCGTGGCCTGGTGTTTGTCCCATCGGGAAGTTGACGATAAAGAAAATCAACACTCTTTAAACTTTCTACAATGCCGGGCCTTATCCCCTTAATGCTCAATCCTGTAGTGGTTGGGAACCGCTCCAACGTCATCTTTGCGCCGTTGGATCAAGCAGCAAGTCACTATTCACGTGGCCAGAGCAGAGGCCACCTGCCTCCGCGTGTTCGCTCACCTCTGTCGCCCTCATTGCCCCCAAACACACTTACAATCACACCACAAAAGGCTTCGTTTCCTAATCCGTCCAAGCCAAAACCCTCAAAGCGTCTGTCACTCTCTTCACCTTCAAATCAGGACTGGAAGCGGGCTATTTTTGAGGTAAAACGGCAGCACGCACACCGCAGATACCGTGCATGCTTCACACGGTGCAACGAGATTCTGGTCAACGCGAAAGACGTGGTGAGTCATCGTCCTCGACAGGTCATTTTAATCGGGAACCTTGGTCTTCTCCGGCCTTATCTTCAAAATACTCCACACAGGCTGGAATACTGACATGTTATCAAAGTCCGACGTCGAGCCAGCGTATCTAATTTCCCTACATTTCTATGCTGCGACCGCAATGGAGGTGTGTGCTCGACCGCTGAGCTCCCCTTCCGCGTACCGTGCCCGCCTCTTGCAGGAGGCACGGGAGCACTACGGCCAAGCCAGCCATCTTATTCACGATGCTGAAGTATTGGTCCAATCCAGGGTCCGGGCGAGCTTCACCCTGCCACCCCTATCAAATCTACACTCGCCATCTAGTTCCATCAGCTCGCGGGTCTGGACATCAGAGACGGGCTTTTCTTCCCCCACCCCTTCCGTAACCTATTCGGAAGATCTGAACGCCGGGCTACACCAGCTGGAGTTTTCGTTACCGCCGAGCCTCTCATTCTCGCTCGGGCCGGCCAGGAAGAAGGTCTCGTTTGAATTGCCCGGAAAGGACACGCCTATATTTGAGCCTTACATACGCCCCGATTCGCCTACTCTGGGTTTCGATGAGTATTTTGTCACCGGTTTAGCTCGACAGAATCTACCAGAAACCCCTAGCTGTTCAAAGAAGTCCATACCAACTCTACAGCGGGCTAACAACGAGGATGCTACACCAAGGGCCTCGAAAAACTTTAACCACTTAAGCCATGGAGTCCTTGACCTAGAGGCTGGATTTAATGGCCGCTCTTGCAAGCTTGATAACTCGGCAAGTCGATACTGTGCGCATCTCGCCAATCTGAAATGTCGACTTGAACAACACAAGGCAAACTTGGAGGCTGTTATCGAGACACCGCCCACCGGCGACAACGATATTGCAGAAAATATTAACCTGGTGCCGCCGGGAGAAGTTGCGCACGGTCTTGACCGGAAAACCCGTATCGAGCGTCTGCGGAAGCAGGGTTGGCAACGTAAACGCTTTGACCCGAGCCGATACGAAGCTCTTCGCAATGCGGCTCTCGCAGAGCTCATCTAATGACCGTATTTAATCCTATTCCATTTGTCGTCGCGGCCCGTTCACAGTGTGCCGCGACACGTGCATCACTGTTCATGTATATTTGGGGTTGACGCTTGTATATTCCTTTTTTTGTATCCATCCAGCGATGGTGTTAGGGCGTGTCATAGTTGAAATTTTTTTTTTACTAACCAATGTCTATCATGTATGATTTGATTGTTTCTTGTACTTTGTCTATTGTGCTATATGGAAATTGTATTTTTCAGTTCGTCCTGTCGGTCGAGCGTTCATTGTTTTCCTAAAGTATACTCTAATGCTAAGGTGTTTTACTTTTGAGATTGATCGAGGGGGGAAGAAAAAGAGCCAAGAGAACAAGAATGAAGAACAATATACATAAAACTGATAACTATCACCGAAACGAAACGACAAATGCCCTTCCCCAGGAATGCGCCGAGCACAATGTAGTTACTTTGATTTGATTTGTTAAATGTCCTATAAAATAGCAAAGAGGGGGCGATAACAGTCCCACAAGAGCAAACAGCCCAAATAAAAGAAAAGGCGGAGCGTTAATTAAACAACATGCATAACCATGACCAAAGTGGCCAAAGTAACCAAAACGTAAAAGGTCAACTTGACTCCTAAACTGCCATTTTGCAGCGTATTCTGACAACGCTTCCCAAGTAAAAATCAAGGTGAGCCCTGCTTGCTGGCCTCTTCGACCTCCTTGCGCACCTCTTCCTGCTGGCGCATTTCGCGGACCTTGGCCATGACGACCTCCCGGAAGATGGCTCCCTTTACTTTTTGAATTGTCTGTTTAGTTTTGTCGGTGGGGCCGCTCTCAGCGCCGACGCTGCCAGAAGCTCCGTCGTCCTGGGCAGCTGCTGCAGCGGCCGCCTTCTGGAGTGGTGCTGCTGTATCAGTCTGCATATCAGAGTTTTCGGGGTCGTCTTCCTGCATCTTGAGAGCCTCAATACGGTTAGTAAGCTTGACGAGTTCGATGCCTCTGCGCAGGCGAGCCTTTGCCATGTAAGCCTTGATCTCTGGCAGCAAGTTGTGCTCAGTGGCACTCTCGCCGCTCAGCCACTTGTGCTTCAGCGCATCCTGGAAAAGATGTGTTAGCCTAGCTGTTGCGTTATTACGATGGACAGATAATTGTACAACATACTCCGCTACTCCAGCGGTCATCCGGGTTCGGCTGAAGTAGGCCAATAATGAAGTCTTTGGCGTCCTCACTAACGTCCTTCCAATAGCGCTCGTGGAAGATGACACGGGCAGATGTGCACTCCTCGATCAGGTCGGGCAGGTTTTCGGAACGGAAAGGCGAATAACCGCACAAGAGGGTGTACGTTATGACACCCATAGACCACATGTCGACGGGCTTTCCGTGGCCCTTTTTGAGCATGACCTCGGGCGCCGCGTAGCCGAACGAGCCTGCCATCGTGGTCAAGACCTCGTCCTTGCTGTCCAGCATCTTGGCGATGCCGAAATCAGCCAAAACCAAGTCGGAGTCAGACTGCTTTGTAAGGTACAGAAGGTTTTCCGGTTTTAGGTCTACGAAGCCCATTGTCAGACAAATAAGGCCACAGAGAAAGGAATGAAAACCTGGAGGGCCGTCATTAAAGCTAAAATATGTACATACCTCGATGCACGACGTTATTCTTGTGCAGGTAGTCAACCGCACTGAGAACCTGTTTGATGGTCTGCGAAGCATCCTTCTCGGTGAACTTGCCCTGCTCACAAATTCGATCGAACAGCTCGCCGCCCGTAGCAAGCTCCGTGACAATGTAGTATTTATCCTACCGGACAATGTATCAGTGTCATCAAAGAAGAGAGAAAAGAAATTCTCAGCCAATACAGATAAAGGGAGTTTAGTCCTACCCTCGATTCAAACCAGTCCACAAAGCGGACAATATGCGAATGCTTCAGATTTTGGAGGAGATTCAACTCGTCGTAGACCATCTGTTCGTTACCCTTGACATTCTTTTTCAGGATGACCTTGATGGCGACCTTTCCGGTCGGGCCATCTGCCTCGCGGACAATACCATATGTGCCTGCGCCGAGCATGCGACCAAAGTGGTATTTGGATCTGTAAGGGAGTCAGCAGCCGCTGGAAAGAAAACAGTGCACGCGTCTTTGACGGTTGGAAGGTGTCCAAACTTTTTGTCATAGCTGTCGGGTTGGCCATGAAGGCGGCTTAGCATACTAGAGACTGAATAGAACAAGTTGGTATTAGTCTTTAACCTTATCCAGAGAGCTGCATGTAATTGCTTGTTGGACCGCGAAAGGACAGTGCCGGCAGGCAACAAGAAGGGCCCTCGGCTGGAACGAGATAGCCTGCGACTTACAGCTCATATTGGAGTTGGTATTGAGGAACCCCTTCGAGGCGCACCATATATCACAGGGATTGTATCCGGTATGCGCTCAAGGCACACGAGATGATTGATTTAGGACAGCTGAGACGCAAGCAGCGTGGGCTATATGGGTAGCGACGGAGGTCCACACAAACGAGTCTCAATGGGCGCAAGGCGGGCAGGCAGAGTTTTCGGAGCCGACGGTGGATGCGCTTTCACAGACTGTTGGGCAGCACGAATTGGTTCAATGTCGGTTGGGTATTAACGGCGGTGGCAGCAGCTTCTTTATCGGAATCGTGGGCGTGCTGACGGTAGGGAACATCAACGGGAGATATAGTAGGAAAGGTCGGAGAGAGACGATGGGAGAGGGTGAATAGGGCCCTATACAAGGAACTGAGTTGGGAAAAGCACACGATGGACGAGGGAGGAAACGAGAATTGCGTCAAGAAATACGGCCAAGAATTTAGAAGCAGTGTTGAAAGAAAAACAAAGGATATCCGCTCCTTGCAAAGGGGTGGAGCAAACTAAAGTTAATTGCGAAGTACGAAGTTGGCAGCCGCCGAATGGCTTCAGCCTCCCGCGGCATAGTTCGCGAGTAAGGCTCACATTGACGGAGGGCTCATAATGCAGTCAAGAGAGGGGCTGCCGAGAAACAAGATGAGAAGGAGGGGTGGCGCCTTCACTACGACGGAGGAGTCAGATAGAGCGAGTGTCTGGTTGTGTTGGGTGGCCTGGTCAGCCTGGCTGCCCAGGAGGCCCTCCCCCACTTGATGCCTCGCATTGAGGGCGCCGCGCAGGGGAAAATAAGATACGTTGGAGTGCCCATGGGGCTGAATGGTCAGGCACAGCCCCACGGATTAATATCTTACATTTTCGCACACCCATAGCTCGTTTCGGGCAGGATCGCCTTGAACGACGGCCAGTCGACCAAATCATTGCGACACATGGCCGTACGGGAAAGATAATTGTGTAAGATGCCACTGTCAATGACACGACATTTTGGATAAGTAATTACGCTGTGGACAATCGTTGCAGAGATGCGAGTTCGCTGTGCGGCATCGTAGGATACTAAAAACACATTGGAGAAGAACCAATGCGCTGTGGCAGAGTGTGTGCCTGAGTTGGACGTAGAGCCGCATTCGCACTTGCGACCTGGTTGGCTAGCTGCAATAGCGTAATGTTATTATGCATATCGTGTCCTCTCACTGAACGTCTGTTTCGTCCATTGTCGAGACGTATTTATTATGTTTGTTGCGTTCTTTACAGTAGTGGTCTATTTCTAACACTACAGTAGGCTTTTCGAGGCGGGATGATAACGTGGCCAGCTACTGCGTGCAGCTATCGGGGTGTTACATTATCCTTATATACACGGGATGCCGCGCGACTGAAATTGTGGTTGGTGAGAAGGAAAAGCCCAAGGACGGCTATTTAGAGCAGCTTTTCGGCCCAATGGGCTTACTCGGATCCGTGGTTGGTCTTAACCTTGAAGATGAGAAGGTGCTGGACTAGTTGCTCTCGCAACAAACCGTTAGCTGTGGGCGTCTTAAGGCTCTTTATTACGAGGATATCAAGCTGATAGTGGATACGCCGTCCTAATACGGGTCGATGTATCCTCGCCATGGCCATCTGGTTCATCCACCACAAGGGAGCAGATAAGAAGCCCAAGCCGTAAGTAAAAGCCATCACAGCTTTACTTTATGTATCAATAACAGGGCGGATGAGACAATTTTCTTCTTCTTTCCCACCAAACGCTAAATTCCGACGTGATCAACATCAATATCAGCCTCGCCAATCATTCGCAAGAGAGCCGCGTCTCCTACCTTCAAAGAGGAGCCCGTCAACCCTCGTACCAACCGCCAGTCTAATGGGGATGTTCCTCTTAGGTCTGTGCTTAGCTAAAGAGTGCCCCGAAGCAATATGTTGTGTCAACGTACCTTAGGCTCATCGCTTTTTCTTTTATATCTACATAGTTCTCTAGGTTGTTTTCTAACGCGAGCCGCGGCTTCAAAGGGTATTTCTCACCCTAGGATGGAACCTGTGTAGCCGGCTTTAAAATGAAAATGGACTTTACTTCTATGAGAGCACGATGGAAGGAGTTCCGGAGGTGGCACCATCAGAACCGCAGGGGCACCGGCACAACAGACGAGAGCTTTAGAAGAGAAGCGGCGCCACTTCGAGTCTACTGGAGCGGGACCGATAGTGACTGAACCGAATTTCGAAGCGACTATGCGGACCATGTGGCTGCAGGAACAGGACACAGGCCGGTGGGAGTTGATCAGGGAGGTTAAGGATGGAGGCTTCGCGCAGTATGAGAAGGCTGCACGGCAACGCCTGGCCAAGCACGGCTACCGCGAGGTCTTCTCAAGATCCTCGGTGGTAAAAAAAAGAGGGTGACGTGGACCGAGTACCTCGAGTTCGAATACTGGTGGCAGGATGTGAACACCAGGACTGTCCACCGTCGCAAGCCGTCGCACGACAACGCCAGGGAAGAGCTTGTGGAATCGGGGGTCCGGAGAACCGGTGAGACGGAAGAGGATTTGTCTGCACCGCAGACGAGCGTCCTCGATCAACAAAGCGCGCCACGGAATGAAGCCATCCAACGCTTTATGAGACAGGCAAAGACATACCGTGAAGCTAAGACGGTGGAATCTCGCCAGTTCTTCCGGGTCGAGTGGGCTTCAAGTCAGATGTCCAAAAAGTCAGTAATACAAAAGCCTTCAGTGCACAAGTCAGCCACGAGGACGAGAAAACGGTAACCTCATGAAGATGAAGAAGCCTTGGATGAGGCCGTGGGGCAGCGCCCTGTCACGAAGAAGCAAAGGACGGAGCCAGAGCGGAAGCAGGATAGAAGGGTCTCAAGTGGGACGAAAGCAACGGCAGTACGGCAACGGGAATCAGGTATGACATCAGGCCTCTTTTCTCTGACAAGCCCGGCATGGGAATTCAAGGGAGGGAAAGTGACCTAGGTATTTTGCAAGAGATAACCCGAGAGAAAGTCCCTCGTTTTACTGCGTAATACTGAAGCATGTAAATAATGCATAATTTTCCGACAAGAAGCTAGTTGTCCAATATGTTCATACGGGCCGTGAAGCCTCTTATGTAGCCACCATTCACGTCACTGCCCCGGCGCCCATTCATCACCGTTTCGAGGTTCTAACGGAACGGTGGGTTGCCAGCCAGGCTTTCAATATTAGACCATGGCCGCATGTCAGCTATTTCTAGCTGGCTATCAGGCTTACGCCACACTATTTCGCCCGTTGCCTCAAGTCACTTTTGGCGTGGCTTGGTCGGACCCACTTTTGGGGGCCTTAGGTCCTGCTCCTGAGCCAAAATTCCAATGCGCTCAAGACAGTCCCCAAGTTTACATTCAACATCAAGGCAAAATAGCCATGCCGCCCCACCAATAACGACAGAAACATTCATGTTCCCAAAGAAGAATGCCTTTTTCTGCCACGGCCGCCAACCATTCTTAAACCTCAATCGCTCCCAGTGCAAACGAGAAAACTTTGCGCCCGTTTTCTCGTCACCCCATGCGTACAGCACCTCACTGGGCTTTCGTTACGAACGAAGCTATCGAACGGCAACGAAGCAAGCATATGACGCCGCACGGAGCCTGCGATCCAGCACAGGAACGGACTCGACCTTTATTCAGTCCCGGACGGCACCTCCTGACCACCACCCACCGTGACGAACTGCTCCAGAACAGGGCCTTACCGTAGCTGGCTGTTTATGATCTTCGCATATCACGACGGCACGTGGCATCTTGTAATACTTTGAGGGCGAGTGATTACCTAACCAGTCATACTTCCTTTTATAACTTGTCTGTGAGTCCCTCTTAACGAAGTACGCTTATCGACTCCCTTCCGCGAAACCACGTCTTGCCGTAGCATCTTTGCCCCCGCTCTTCATCTAAGAGTGAAGGTGCGTCGCACAGAACCGAGCGCCTGAGCCACCGCACAGTATTCTTTATATTTACCTGACTTAGACGATTCACACCTTCATCAGACGACATGATCTCCTCACAGAAGCGGCTGCAAAAGGAGCTATTAAAGGTTGGCCGCCACCTTCCAAGCTTCTATTTTCCGTACTCTGGAGCGTGGTACTTTTTTTTAGCCGGTCACTAACCAGTGCCAACCGTCTGCTTGTTAATTTCAATCCAGATTGGGAGCAGTGGCTTGCCTCCTGGTATCACACTCGTATCATCGGAGAATCTTGAAGAATGGATAGCCGACATCCAGGTTCTTGACCAGAATCCTCTATACATGGACCAAACCTATCGACTGAAGTTTAGATTTCCCCCAACTTACCCAATTGGTAAGTGATGTCGGCCACATGGCTTGGCTTTGGAAGAACTGTTCTGACTGTTGTATAGAGCCGCCAGAAGTCGTGTTTCTTCAAGGCCCTGATCGGCCGATTCCCATGCACCCACACATCTACTCCAATGGCATCATCTGCCTTGACCTACTTGGGTCACAAGGCTGGAGTCCCGTCCAGAACGTTGAGAGTGTCTGTATGAGCCTGCAGAGCATGCTGACCGGCAATACGAAAAATGAGCGGCCGCCTGGCGATGCCGAATTCGTACGAACCAACCGTTTACGGCCCCGTGATATTAACTTTTACTACCACGACAATAAAGTATAACTATTCTTGTGTGTACAGCGCACTTGTGCGGTGTCTACGGCCCAAGTCGTGGGCCGCGCAATAATTATCTTTGAATTTAGAGCAATTCCATCTTCCAACTGTTAACTTTTTTTGTCTTCTTGGGGGCTGGCGGGGGGGGGGGGGGGGCGGGGCATCTTATATATTGATTCCGTAAATTCTTCCGATTCCGCTCTGTACGTCTCTCGATGTTAATTGTAGCACGTGTCTTGTACTAATTATTACGCGTTTTCGACACCTATAATTTCGTCCCAGTATATGGGAGCTACGGATGGTGGGTCCTGTGGGCCCAGTATGAACCCCGACTTATCGGCCTTCAGCCGCGAAACTGAGATAGAGCTTCCCGTCACGAACAGGTTCCATCAGCTACATACTTCATTGTCTGTTTGCGCTATTTGCACCCCGCCACCAATAGCCCCTTCAATAGCCATATCTGAAGTATATTCAATTGTGCGGGCTTTTAGACACCGCATACAGTTCCGAGCGGTCGCTTTTCCGCTCTCCACCTTTTGCCTACTCCCTCCACGACTCGCCCACGAACCTAGTGCTGTGAGTCGAAACAAGCCAATAGCGCTCGCCATGGCCCCCCAAGCAGTCTTCGATACCGGCGAGGTGAGGGATAATGCGAGACGAGATCTGCTGTATCTCCTTGAGGCGGTTCGTGGCAAGAAGAACCTTGTCATCGAGAAGAGCCTCGCCGGGCCTATTGGCACCATTGCCAAAGTCTCCACGCTACAGGATTACGGTGTTGATAAGTTCTTCTTTCTCGAGAATGGAAATACCGATACGAGTCAGACCAACGTCATCTTCGTCGCTCGTGGCGAGTGTGGCCGCCACGCACAAGACATAGCAGGTGCTTACTTCCCTTTGCAGACGCCCTTCTCTCCCGTTCTGTCCGCGCTGTCTACCTACCCTTGCCCTCATTATTGACGGTTTTGCATCTTAAATTCATATAGACCAAATTCGCAGACTGCAACGAGAGAGCCAAACCGGACACGACTTTCATATTTTCTGGGTGCCTCGCCGGACGCTCGTGACGCATGCCATACTCGAAGAGGCTGGAGTGCTTGGTGACGTGAGCATCTCAGAACTACCACTATATTTTTTCCCTCTCGAAAATGATGTGCTGTCGCTCGAGCTAGACGAGACCTTCCAAGACCTCTATCTCGCAAAAGACCCGACTGCGTCGTTTCTCCTCGCAAAAGCACTCATGGGCATTCAACAGTGCCACGGTCTCTTTCCACGCATTATCGGAAAGGGAGACAACGCCAAACGTGTTGCTGAGTTACTGGACCGCTTCCGCCAAGAACTCCTGGCTGGCGAAGACGTTAGCGATGCTAGTAAAGTAGGCCTCACACCGAGTACCACAACTGAGAGTGTCATTATTATCGACCGCGAGGTCGACCTAGTCACGCCGCTTCTCACCCAACTGACCTATGAGGGTCTGATCGACGAATTGTATGGAATTCAGAACAATCAAACCGATGTCGACTCGACAATCGTTGGTGCAGCTGCGGCTTCGACGAGTTCTGGAGGCGCACAACCTGCATCTGCGTCTGCATCGGCTGGTGGGAGTGCATCTTCTGGTGTCTCCTCAGGGACGCGAAAACGGAAGATTCAGCTGGACTCATCTGACAAGCTCTATGAAGAGCTTCGTGACGCCAATTTCGCCATTGTCGGCGGTCTGCTCAACAAGGTTGCCCGTAGGCTCCAGAGCGACTATGAAGGCCGACACAGTACGCGAACCACGGCGGAATTGCGAGACTTTGTCCAGAAGCTCCCGGGCTACCAAGCCGAGCAAGCCAGTCTCAAAATCCACGCGGGGATTGTTGAAGAGATTTACAAATACACTCGAAGCGACGAGTTTAGCAGCCTTCTCGAGGTGCAGCAAAACCTTGCTGCAGGTGCTGACCCTTCCGCCCAATTTGAGGCCATCGAAGAGCTCATCGCCCGTGACACACCCTTGAACCAAGTCCTCCGCCTGCTCTGCATCTACTCCTGTATTTCCGGCGGTATCAAACCTAAGGAATACGACCAATTTCGACGTTTGATCCTCGAAGGATATGGATACCAGCACCTCCTAACGCTGCAAAATCTTGAAACCCTGCAAATGTTTTTGCCACGATCATCTCCACTGGCCGGTATGATTCCAATGGCTGGCTCTGCTGGAGCCACGGGCACAAAAACCAACTACACATTTCTCAGAAAGCAGCTGCGGCTTATCGTCGATGAAGTCAGCGAGCAGGACCCGAACGACATTGCATACGTTTATAGTGGGTATGCGCCACTTTCTGTGCGGCTGGTCCAATGCATCCTGCAAAAGCAATATCTTTTGACATTCACGAAAGGTAACGGTGTCACTAGCGGATCCCAAGGCTGGCGCGGTTTCGACGAGGCGGTTAAACATGTGCGTGGCCAGACATTTGATATCCTTCAAAAGGGAGAAGACAAGGCTGTTAAGGCGAGGGCGCTGCTATCTGGTAGCGGAAACAAGAAAACTGTGTTTGTTGTATTCGTTGGCGGCATTACCTTCACCGAGATTGCGGCGTTACGGTATATTGCACGGAAAGAAGAAGGTGAGTTGACCCCAGCGACCATTGTTTCCGCACTCGAATACTAACATGTTTTGGATAAGGCCGGCGTAGGATTGTTGTTTGCACGACATCAATTGTAAGCGGTAATAAGATGATGGCAGCTGCTGTTGAGACTGGATCATTTAAGCGAGATGGCGGTTTGGACGCCGCGACAGCCCCGTAGGGCTTTGAAGTACACTGAGTTATACCACGGTGCCAACAGGTATTTGGATGATTGCAACGATACACAGAAAGGTTGTAATAGAAAATTTCTATACATTATATTCGTATAACTGCTTGCCTCGCTAGAGCATAGCTTTTTGCGTTTTCGATACTCAAAATTTGACGACGTCAACGATGCGGCGGGCTTTGATTTCATTCGAATTATGTAAGGGAGGAAAGGGCAACGTAAGTCGCTGGTGTAATTTGGGGACACTTTGGACTTGGCTTTCTTGTAGCAAAATTATTAATCACGTGATGCCTTCGCTTCGCTAGCTTGACTGAACTTTGTCGCTGGTAAATTCGACACAGGGGCATTTGTAAGGAGAGATATTTTGTTGTCGTCAGTAGGTTCTACCGCAGAGAGACCTTGCCTTCGATGCTCATAGACGACTGTAGCGATCGAGGTCACTACAACAAAATTATAATAACATCAAGACGATTATCCCCTAGAGGCCGCAGCCAGAGGCAACGTCCATTCTACCTTGGCTACACATCGCCCTCAGCTGAATCATACTTTCACCGATGGCCCTCAACTGGTAATCAGTGCAAGCGAATTGACTCAACGAAGAGTCTAATGACGACGATATCAATACGAACCCTGAAAGACCAAAAAAAAACGGGCAGGCCAAGTCTGTTGATTGTGCCAGATTCACGATTTACGCGCTCGATCTTTTCTTGGTACGATATTCGCCATCCCACCCGACCGAGTTCACAGCTTCGAGATGTCTTGGGATCCTAATCCCTACCAGTTCAATTTGTCATATTGTGCTTCCATATCGCTTTGACTGACTTTATTCCCAGTTGACCAGGCTGGATAAACTCTCCTTTCTGCATTGAATGCCTTTGTAGCGGGCTTTCCTTCAAACAAGGAAGGAACGCGTACCGTCTAGAAAGAATAAACTTCATTCTCGTCTCGGAAGGTTGTATGAACGAACGCTTAGGCGCGTATCTACATACTTTGGACGGCCAGTACATAGATACACACGCGCCGATTACCGATGATGGGGCTGCCCGTCACAGAGTGCTGCATAACGCCCTGTGTATACCACGCCCACTCACTTTTGGAGTGATAGTGTACGGTTGAGACAAAGGCCAACGAGACTGAACTTTCGGATCCTAGAAAATGGATAGCATTACCACGCTCCGGGTCCATGATAAGGTTACAGTCCAAGATGAACCGTCGACGATCGAACCCAGCTCAACGCCTGGACTTCCTGATAAATACGGAGAGCATATGTTTCGTGAGGTGAGAAACTTCGTTGGCGAGACAAAGGAATCAAATTTAGTGCTGGAGAAAGGTTTGCCAGATTCGTTATCCCAGCCTCTTGCTCCTGCTGTTGGAAACGAGACTACCTTCCACATACGTCGCGGAAACTTGTCCAACCAGCATTCGAGTCCATCAGCTGCCAAGGTGTCTCAAGGAGAGGACACGGATACTGTCAGTGAGCTCGCCATGACAACACAGACAGACCCAGGCCTTCCACTTGGGGCATCCAATGACAACTCCCAATCAGCCATCACAACACAAACTGTTCCTCAAATCACTTCCCTGCCTGCCACGCCACAAGGAAAGCCTGAAACGGCATCAAAAGACGACTTGTCTCAAAAAACCGAACTACCTTTCATGGATCCGGGCACATCAACCATAGGGCTCCAAACGAAAGCCAGTATATCCGGCATGGAGGAGTTTGAAAGACGCGCTTGTGACAGTACCACGAGGATACAAGCTTCACTGCATACAGCGTAAGTAGTTATTTTTCTGGCCTAGAATTTTCATAGCACGACAAAACTCATTGGCTCGATTCTTACCGTTTTGGTCCTGCTTAGATCACAAAATGCGCTGGCGTCTCCTGTCGTTCGACACGTGGTCTTGCAAGAAGGCGTGCAGACCACAGCGTTATCGTCTCTTTCCTCTCACTCACATGTGTCCGGACCGAGCTCTACTTTCTCGGAAATTTCCAGCCAGTATGAGACACCTCCAGACAGCAACTCTGCCATGCCAACTGCTGGGCCCATATCTTCCAAAGCCGAGGCTAAGCCAGCCTTGCAGGTCCCTCAATGTGATTGTCAAGGCATGAATGAAACTCAGAGTAATGTACAGGATGCGGCTGCCCCGAAGGTTTTATCGGGGATACAAAGCGATCCGGACCATTTACCCCACCAATGTCGCACCTTGTCATCATCTCCAAAGAGGGTCTCTGTATCCAGACGACCGATTTTCAAAATTCGGCCGAAGTCTTCTATTCCCTCTGACCTCACACCGCAGGAGTACGCAGGACAGTGTATTGCGGCGGCGGAGTCTTCCAGACTGAATCCTTATGCGCTACACGAAGAAGAGCATGCAATGCTTCGTCACCATATTAGCCACGCACAAGTCACAACATATCTCAATATACGCAACGGGATTCTTCGGTTCTGGCTCCGAAATCCCAGTACTGCTGTGACGAGAAATGATGCCATGGGTTGTTCTAGAGACAGGCGCTGGTTCAGGGCAGCTGGTGTTTGCTTTGACTGGCTTGTCCGCCGAGGATACATCAATTTTGGATGTGTCAAGATTAAGGAGCCACCGAAGGACAAGGGTGCTAAGGCATCACTGCTGAAATCGGAAAGTATGACGTCGCATTCTCTACACAGGCAGAAGAAGACCATAGCCATCATTGGCGCTGGTATGGCTGGGCTCGGCTGTGCTCGCCAGCTGGATAACCTTTTCAAGCAACACCACGACCTACTTGTCAGCCTGGGCGTGGATGTGCCCAGTATTGTCGTCTTAGAGGGGCGCGATCGGATAGGTGGCCGAGTTTATTCGCGACCATTCCAAGTCCAGACCCGCCACCAACACCCGGATTTTCACCAAAGCCGGTGCACTGCTGAAATGGGTGGTATGATTGTCACGGGCTTCGACCGAGGCAACCCGATGAACACCCTTATTCGTGGTCAGCTGGGCCTAGGATACCACGCCTTAATTACTGCGACAACGATATATGATATCAACGGCAAACCTGTCGATGATGTGCGGGACGGTCTGGTAGAGAATTTGTTCAATGAATGCCTTGACCGCGTGAGCGAGTACAAGTTCAAAGTGCCTCTACCAAAGGGCATTGAAGGAAATCATTCTTGCATGGATGACGGCCGTGACAATACCTCAGAGGGGCACCCTACTATTGCTTCGATTGAAGACAGTGAAGCGGTAATACCATCGACCATGGCGGCTGCTGAGATTGAAGTCGCAACTTGGGAACAGACAACATTGCTACGGTATGCGACACCCAAAGCAATGGAGCCACCAAGGCACAAAAAAGCCACCTTGGAAGAACCATATGCAATCGGGAGGCTTCCACAAGCCGATCTGGTTCCTGTTTCATCTGATCGACTTACAGGGAGAGCCCATCTGGAACCCGGGACGCACGCTACGCTAAATGCAGCACACAAGCTGAAGAGTATGGGGTGGTCATTGAAACCGGGAGTCCTGGAGTCGAGAGACTTGGATCTGGACCCTGCTTCTAAATCGCCTAGAGCAACCCTTGGATCCGTCGTTGAAGATGCAATTAGGCAATATGGAGAGCTTCTTGATTTGAACTCGCAAGACTACCGGCTTCTCAACTGGCACATTGCCAATCTGGAATATAGCAATGCTATAAACCATAGCCGCTTGAGTCTCAAGGGCTGGGATATAGATGCTGGGAATGAGTGGGAAGGAAGGCATAGTATGATCATTGGTGGATACCAGAGCGTGCCTCGTGGTCTGATGCTTTGCCCTAAGCCCTTGGATGTTCGGAGACAGATGGCAGTGAAAAAAATCGCCATCAATGAGTCCGGTGACGATAACCGTGCCAGGCATGTCAAGCAGGACGAACAGCATAAGTCCCCCGTGATCATCGAATTTGAAAATGGGGACAAATTTGAAGCTGATTACGTTATCAGTACGATACCCCTTGGAGTTCTTAAGCATGGAAACGTCGAGTTTGACCCGCCGTTACCAAGATGGAAATCGAACGCGATTGACCGGCTCGGCTACGGCGTTCTCAACAAGATCATTCTCACATTCCGCCAACCATTTTGGGATACAGAGCGCGACATATTTGGTGTCTTACGCGAACCAGCCAACCGATATAGCCTCGATCAAAGGCAGTATTCGCAGCGCCGGGGCCGGATGTTCCAATGGTTCAATATTTCAAGGACGACAGGTATCCCTTGCTTGGTAGCCCTCATGGCCGGTGATGCTGCATTCGACACAGAGAAGGCTAGCAATGATGAGCTTGTTTCTGAGGCTACTTCCGTCCTACGATGCGTGTTTGGTGCTAAGAACGTTCCGGAGCCCATTGAGGCTGTCGTTACACGGTGGGCTTCGGACAAATTTTCTCGGGGCAGCTATTCATCAGCTGGGCCCAGCATGGAGATTGACGATTACGATTCTATGGCTCGTCCTGTGGGAAGGCATCTTCATTTTGCGGGTGAACACACCATTGGGACACATCCGGCCACTGTTCATGGAGCCTACCTATCGGGCCTGCGTGCAGCATCAGACATTTTCGAGGAGTTGGTGGGCCCAATCGATATCCCGACGCCGTTGGTACCTCCGAAAGAGACTTTGACGTCTGTCATTAAACGAAAGGTTGCCTTAGACGAAGATGAAGGGAAGACTGGTGATGAAAGTAGTAGTAGCATCAGTGCTAGCGGTGGTCGCGGAAGTAACACCGGGGAGGCGAAGACAAACAATCGCAAGCGTTTGGAAGTACGAGAATCGCACATCCAACAACACATCAACAGTCAGATTGGAGACCGACCCTCGCAACCCCCTCGAGGGTCGGAGAGCGCCTATTCGCTATTTAGTAAGGCGAACTACGAACGGGCACGCAAAAAATGCGAAGAAGGACGTCGCCCTGGCAAAGGTCGTTCCACCCCGAACGAAGTACGGGTTCTCACGTCCAAAATGTGGCGCAGTGCTAGCGCAGAGGAGAGGCGTCCTTTTGCAAATGAAGCAGAGGCTCAAAAACAGATGTACGAAGCGGCTCTTTGTGAATACAACCAGATGATAGCCGAGTGGGACCAACGTGCTTCGGATCTACGTGTGGCCTACGAGCTTGAGCATCCCAGGACCTGCGAACAGGATATTGAGCACACGCCACAGACATTATCACCGTCAGTCTCCGACCTCGTTACTGGGACACCACAACGCTCGAGTTCTATTAGTGCCCGTCGTCTTAGGCGGACGACCAACTGTCAAGCAGGAATCGACAGTGATGTAGAAATGAGCGGTTGATATCCTGGATGGAACTTTGCCGGCTTTTGACATTTTAGTTTCCTGCGCCTTTTATGAAAGGTTTAATGTCTTGTCATTACCCTGGTTGATGGCCTATTTGGTCCTTTCCGTATGCTGATGCCAGGTTACCATTTTGTGTTATTCTTGAACTACATTGTATATACGACATATATATTTATATGCTCTAAAACCGGGCGCTGAGTTACAGGTGGTAAAACTACACATAAAATTCTTACAACGGCAAGCTTACGGTAATGTCGATGTCGTGATAGGCTCCGCCTCTATGCGGAGTATATTCATGAAAGTCATTACCGCACATTGGGATTTTAGTTTTCCTGGTAATACAAACTTCTACTATTATCACCAGTGCCTAGGGCTAGCTTTCACGCCCATGACGACACGCGTTAGCTGTGGAAATTTATTAGTTGTTTTGTTCCGGCTCTGTATACAAAAGAAAATAACATAAAATATAACAGACAGGGGAACAAAGAAGAAATTGTGGTTTGTTTTCCCAAGCTAAGAGACTTGTGAATAACACGAGAGGCTGTAAGAATAAAGGACGCCCTCATTTCATCCTTGCAGGCCTCGTCTGGCTCATTCACTCCTACAATATTGCCCCCGCCGCTGCCGTCTCATGCGTTTTTACACATAATTTACATGTCCTCAGAAGCAGTGGCACCAGTAATAATCTCGACCAGCTCGCCCGTAATGACGGCTTGGCGAGTACGGTTGAAGAGAATCTGGTACTTGTTGATCATCTCACCAGCGTTCTTGGAAGCGTTCTGGAGGGGGAAAGGTTAGTACACAGTATTTCTTGCGGCGAGAGTAGAACGATAACAGTGAAGTGCCGATATGCAGACTTACGTCCATGGCGTTGCGGCGGGCGGACTGCTCGCAAGCGTGGCCCTCAGCAAGAGCCCAGAAGATGGAGTTGGCAAGGGCGTACTCGCGCAGGTTGGGAAGCAGAGCCTCGTCGACCTCGAAAGCAGAGAAGTTGGCTGGATATATGTTAGCAGTTGACCTCTAAAGGTATCTAGGGCCGTTGAGAGAAAACAAATGTGACGTGAGAAACGTACGTGACGCGGCGATGGCCTCCTCGGAGAAGGCCTCGATCGTGGTGGGCTCGTAGGTCTGGGCGTTCACAAATCTGTTGTACAGAATGCGGATGGAGCTGTAATCGCCGGGGAGCTGCACGATCTGGTCGGCGATGGCCTGGGCCTCTGCGAAGGTGGGGATGTCACGGCCGACGCCGGCGAAAGACAGAGCGATGTCTTTGCCGTTGGTGCGCTGCAGCTGCGACTTGCACTTCTCTCCCAGAATGACGAGGTCATAAGACGGGGAAGTGCCGGCAGTGGACTGCTCCGCGAACAACTTCCGGACGGTACGGGATAGACCCGAGTGGATACCACCGCAAAGGCCCTTGTCGGAGCTGCAGACGACGAGCAGCGTTTTGTTCTTGTCCTCACCAGCCTCGAGGGGTTTGGTCTCGGCCTCGTCGAAAACCTTGTTGGACGTTTCTCCGTAGTTGCGGCTGTCGAACATGGCGCGCTGCGCCCGGTTGAGCTTAGTCGAGGCAACAATCTTCATGGTCTTGGTGATCTTCTCAATGTTGCGAATGGACTTGAGACGGTCCTCAATCTCGCGGAGCGTGGCGTACGACGCCGCGGGGGTGGCGGTCGCGAAGCTGCGAGCGTGGTTAGTCTTGGTCGTCCTTTGCATCTGGTGACTGGCCAGGCATCCTCCAATAATGCGCCACTTCCATCCAACTTGCAGTCGTCTAGTTCTCCGTCATCTGCTCATCCGTCCTGTGGCCGTCGATGTTCCTGTCGCGCAATGCAATCGAGCGCAGCTGGGCATCCCTCAGCGCCGGCCATTGTTCCACTTATTCCTGTTTTCCATGCTCCTTTGTCCTAAGCATCCAACTTGTGTTTCTAAGCTTCACTTACCGAGAAGCGGAAGCTCCTGCCCGCAGAGCTGGCCGTGCCGCTCTAGACAACATGTTCGACGAGGAAGGAGAGAAAAGGGCGTGACCGAGAAGTCGTCCAGGAGAAAGAGAAATCAATTGGTCGCTGGTGGATGGCGGCCAAAGATTCAATGAATAGAGAGTGAGGTCGATGCAGGTGGAGAGTGAAAAGAGCGATGTTTGAGGTCTTTTTTCATTTGGCCCCAACTTTGTTTCCGCTTGTTCTCGCGCTTTTCCGGGAAGTCTTTGCCCGCCTGTCCCTTTTTGCCGACTACAAATCGTGCAAGCCACCACCGCCACAACCCTGCCTCCTGTCCAGCTTGGTGGGTCGAGTTGTTTCGGAAAAATAATCACGTGATTGACCCACTGTATTTCAACCGATTTGTATACGTACATGAGAGTTGCGTAGAAGCTGGCCAAATTTTTTGTGTTGGCTGGAATGGCTCTTGAAAGACAGTATCACAGCAGCTTAGGACCCGGTGTGCTCCTTCCGCAACAGTCGCTCGCGCCACGCATAAAAAGTATTACGAGTCGCTCTTCGTCCCCTAGATTTTTACTGAACAATATGCTGCTCTCGGTAATTTCTCCGTATTCCGTTTACCAGCGCGATTGGCGGTTGAAACGTGAGGAAAATAAGCCTCAGTTCTTTTGAACTTTTCTCCCTTGTCACGCGTCCCCACAGACAGTCTGGCCTTCACAGTGTCCTCGCCGCCCACTTTTCCGCCCGTCCTTCTAGTCATCGAATCTGGACGCTGAGCGTTCCATTTTCCTGTGCTTGGCTACCGTCCCCTAGCTCTCAAGGCTCGCGTTGATTGGTCTTTTTAGCCTCCAAAACTTTCTGGCCCTTTCTGGCGGCCATTCTCATGTCCCTCCCAAATCGCCTTCCACTGCTTTTCGAGGCCCATCTCTGCTGGCTAAATATTTTGCGTCTTCTTCCTCTCGTTTCCACCCTTTCCCCCCTTTCGTGGTCTGCATCAACATTATCTTGAATTACGATAACTTTCCTTTCAACCGGGTCCCTATCCCACTCGCCCTTGCTGGCACCGCCAATCCCTGTGGTTGGACGCTTTTCTTTTGTCGGTGCCTCGATTTTCCTCTCCGCATCTGTTCTTTTCACCTTGACGCGTCGTGCCGCTCAAACTCGAAACCATCCTTTTTCGGTCTCTCTGGACACTCGACGTACACCTGTGCGTTTCGCCGTGACGACGAATATGTCAGACAGCTCCGACGACGACCGGCCGCTGGCCGCCTCGAACGGACATGGTACGTTTGCCCTCGAAATCGCGTTTATGCGTGCGGCCAATCATCCTTGCAACTGGTCACAATGCTGATCGCAACATCCGCATCCTTCCTATCATGTTCCTTGTCCACAAACTGGATATCCTTTCCTCAGAGTCTTTTGACCATGCCGGCTGCTTCTCATCAAGTTCCTAACTTCTTTCGTACACCTCGCTAACCAATACGCTCGTATAGTATCTGCTTCTAGAATCTCCAAATCTGACGATACCGCCATGGACAACTATTCCCCGAACGTCAAAATGGCCCCTCCGGGCGTTTCCATCCGACATGGCCCAGTGACCGGCTTGAATGGGCTTGTGAAGCGCAAGTCACGTACGTCGAATGACCAGTCTGTTAGATACAGAGATGAGTCGGATAGTGACGACGACGCACCGATGGTATGTTTCACCTTTTTAGACGGGCGCGGAGCCATCAAATGATAATCTCGGTTAACAAACTCTCTAGGCGAAGCGTCAGAAGTCCAAGTATGCCGAGTCTGACAGTGAGGACGAACCGATTGTGTCTAAGAAGCAGTCCAAGTTGCCTTTGTCGATTAATGACACGCCTCTGATCAACACTGGGGATGGCAAGAAGCCTCTGGACGTCCGGCTCTCGAATAAGAAGGCCAAAATCGAACAGGAAGCCGAATTTGAGGCCAAGTCTCTCCTTGCAAACGGCTTAGGCAAGGCGAAGCGTCCATCTAACGGGACGTCGTTCTCCAAACCTCCCCAACCCGACGATTCGGAAGACGAGGTGCTTTCTAAACCGAAGAAGCGGCAGACAAACGGCGCGACACCCGCGTCGTTGAAGAAGTCGAACGGCACGAAAGCAAAAGATGAATCGGACTCTGACGTGCCCATGGCGAAGAAAAAGACGCCGAGCACTTCCAAGACTGCAGCGAGACCACCTGCCAAGCCAACTAGTAACAGCAAGAAAGCCGCTGCGTACACTCCTAAGAAGGCAGCACCGTCTAAGCCCATGAAGAAGGCTGAGAGCACTGAGCCGGGCGACGATGATGATGAGGAGGAGGAGTACCGGTGGTGGGATGCACCGAAAAAGGAGGATGACTCGATCAAGTGGACCACACTTGAACATGCTGGTGTCGTCTTCCCCCCGCCTTACCAACCCCTCCCAAAGCATGTTCGTCTGTATTACGACGGTGTGGCCGTGGACATGCATCCCGAAGCTGAGGAGGTTGCCACCTTCTTTGGGTCTATGCTCCATTTGACTGTCAACACCGAAAACCCGACTTTCAGGAAGAATTTCTTTGCGGATTTCCAAGCGGTATTGAAACAGACGGGTGGCGCGAGAGGTCCGGATGGCCAGAAAGTGGCTATAAAAGACTTTGCCAAACTCGATTTCAAGCCCATGTTTGAATACTACAAGGCCCAGTCCGAAGCAAGGAAGAACCGGACAAAAGAAGAGAAGAAGGCAGAGAAGGAAGAAAAGGCGAAGCTGGAGGCCCCATATCTCTACTGCAAATGGGATGGCCGGAAAGAAAAGGTTGGCAACTTTCGCGTGGAGCCGCCTGGCTTATTCCGTGGCCGCGGCGAGCATCCCAAAACAGGCCGAGTCAAGAAACGTGTCATGCCCGAGCAAGTCACGATCAACATTGGCAAGGATGCTGTTGTGCCCCAGCCACCCGCCGGACACAAGTGGAAGGGAGTGCAGCACGACAACAAAGCGACGTGGTTGGCTATGTGGCAAGAAAACATCAACGGAGCCTACAAGTACGTTATGCTTGCCGCAAACAGCGCCGTGAAGGGCCAGGCCGATTTCAAGAAATTTGAAAAGGCTCGTGCCCTCAAGAAGTACATTGGGCGTGTTCGTGCGGATTACACCCGAGAGCTTAAGAGTGAGGTCATGGCCGACCGCCAGCGTGCCACTGCCATGTACCTGATCGATCGATTTGCACTGCGTGCCGGCAATGAGAAAGATACCGATAACGAGGCAGACACAGTTGGCTGCTGCTCTCTCAAGTATGAGCACATCACGCTTCGGGAGCCCAACACGGTAATTTTTGACTTCCTGGGCAAGGACAGCATTCCGTACTACGACGAGGTGACGGTAGACCGTCAGGTGTTTAAGAACCTGAAGATGTTCAAGAAACCACCGAAGGAGGACGGTGACGATATTTTCGACCGCCTGAACGTAAGATCAAGTCTATTGTGCTCTCGTGTTCTCCGCTTCTTTTAAATACATGCAAGGTGCTGACTATGCTCACGTCTAGACTTCCCAACTCAATAAGCACCTGTCCAGTTACATGCAGGGCTTGACGGCCAAGGTTTTCCGTACCTATAATGCGTCATACACGATGTCGAAGTTGCTTCAAGAGCTTCCAGTCACCAACGTATCTATTGCCGAGAAGGTGAAGCTGTACAACGATTGCAACCGCAAGGTTGCCATTCTCTGCAACCATAAACGGACGGTCGGAGCCAGCCACGAGGCGCAAATGGAGAAAATGGGTGATCGTATCAAGGGCTTGAAATACCAGAAGTGGCGAACTCGGATGATGATGCTCGACCTTGACCCTAAGCTTAAGAAGAAAAAGGGCGCAGAGTACTTCGAACGCGGTCCGGAGCTAACGGACGAATGGATTCTTGAACACCAAAAGTTCCTTGCCGAAGAACAGCGTACCAAAGTCACCAAGAAGTTCGAAAAGGACAATGAAAAGCGCGCTATTGATGGCGATAAGCCGCTGCCAGAGAAGGAGCTCAAGGAGCGTCTGAAGACAGTTGCAGAACTTGAGGCCAAATTCAAAAAGGAGAACCGGACGAAGAAGGTTGAGGCTGAAGGAAAGGCTCCGTCCATTGAAAGGCTCGAGGCGGCTGCTCAAAAGATCGACGAGCGTATCCACAACATGGAGCTTCAGGCAGCAGACAAGGATGGAAACAAAGAGGTTGCTCTGAGCACCTCGAAGATCGTGAGTTACATACGATGTCCCTCTTTTTTTTATGGGCGACAGTGACTTTGTACTGACTACCTCTCCACAGAATTACATTGATCCCCGCCTCACTGTGGTCTTCTCTGAGAAATTCGGTGTCCCGATTGAGAAGTTCTTTTCGAAGACACTTCGTGAGAAATTCAACTGGGCTATTCAGTCTGTTGGAAACGACTCTACATGGGAGTTCTAAAGCATGTTGGTCTTATTCCATACTGCACTGTTTTATTTCGATGATGCTCCCTTTTTCATTTTGCATTGTATTTTCATCTTAGGTGGTACCGTTCTTGTTTTCGCGTTGAGTTTTGTTTTACTTGCTTGCAGTCATCTTATTATGTCTTTCATCGTTGGACGTCCTATTTGATTGTTTCTGGTTTTACTCGTTGCATTTTGGTGTTTTACTTTTAAATATGTCTACAGGCTCGATAGCGGGCCGGCTTCCCACAAAGCAGACGGCATGGACAAAATGTCGACGGACGTATGAGGCGTTGGGAGGTCAAAAGTGCATAGGGTGGTGTCTTGACCAGCGTTTGGCTTACAAATGCTACATGGAGCGAGGTCGGAGGGGAGCAATGGTGTTTGAATAGACATGAAATAGTACAGACTAGCTGGGGATAGAATCTTAATTAGAAATGCACAAAAGATTATCAAATGAAAACAAAAACATTCTGAACAACAAATCGTTGTAGCAACATGTCCATATGTGAGAGGTAGGGTGCAATCACCGATTACTATTTTCTTTCTGTCATTGTTTCCCCTCCTCTGCCTCCCTTGCCTCCTCTTCCTCCTCTTGGGGCAAAGTTATAGCAATTTTGATCAGTGAATGTATTAGAATTAAATATATAGTATTATGTTGTGCGGCTTACACAAAGATTAAGCCACACTGTGCACTGTATATATCCAGCGTGCATCTTGCACTTGCTTTTTACCTATGAATATGGTATGCTCCAGTTGACCGACTGAAAATGCAGAAACACCATGCTATCCATTAAATGCCACCAAAGGAAAAGTTGCTTTCTGTTGTGCGTATCCAAGAGGCGATCGTCGCCTCATTTCTAACAGACCTTTGCGTCGTAATTCCCTACTGTGTATATGCGCCGATATGATGTGTATGTGGTATCAGAAAACGAAAGACAAACCGAGAAAATGCATGGGAACAAAAAAAAAACGAATTAAAATGGCGACACGCCAAATGAGAGAATTCCAATGACAACAGAGCCACACAGTTGCAGTGCGATGAGTGACAGGCATGGTGGTCCTGTAAGATTGCGTTAGCGATTGCCAAATTTGCGTCAATTTGTCGTAAAAGGACAACAGAGAGCAAAACTCACTAGTCATATTGGAGCTGGCAGGGACAATTTTGCCGCTCGGTGTCATGACCCATCCGCTAGGAATTGTGTTGGTGGCGGTCGACGTAGAGGACGGAACCGATGGCCGACCAGACTCGGTAGAGGCGGCGCCACCGCCGATTCCACCGGCCGGGACAGTAGGCGACAGGGATGTGGCTGCAGCGGCCGTTGCGGTGGCAGTTTGGGTCGCAACGTTGACGCCTACATTAACGCCGACCTGACCGTCGACAGCCTCAATGGACTGCCAGTCGCCCGACGTGTTGGAGTAGATGTACTCTTTCCCCGTCGAGTAGTCCGTCACCTGGATGGCCTTGACGACCATGGAAAAAGGCCCCTTCGAGTAGTCCGTCGGACCGCGTGCCCACTCAACAGTACCCGCGGCGTTCGTGGCCGTGTCGCCGCCCGACCAGGCGCCAAATTTGATCTGCATAGGCGTTTGCGGGTACTGACCGGAGGCGGCGTCGGCGTAGTTGAGCGTGCGGACGACAGTGTCGGCCACGGACCACACGATGCGGTCGGCGGTCCAGTCGATTGTATACGTGATGAATTCGGCTTGGTTGTTGGCGGCCGGGTTGAACTGGCCGCGGTTATACGTCGTTGTCTGGCCCTTGCCAAAGTAGTTGGTCTGCACCTCAGTGCTATCGGCGCCGAGCCACTCCATGTCGATTTCGTCGAGGTCGTCGGACTGCATGACAAGCGTGCTGACAATGCCGGCGCCAGGTGCGCTCTTCATGGTAAACTGTATGCGGCCGAACATGATGTAGAAGATACTCGACAGTTGAGGCGCGTCGCCTGACTTGGCAACGGTAAAGGTTACGCCATCCGAGCCGTACGATACGGATCCGCCGCCGGTGGCTGTGAACGAGTTGACGCTGCCCTTTGTGAAGTCGACATCGATGGCCATACCGAGAGCCGTGTCCGGTGGACAATTGGCTGTAGAAAGTTAACATGAGGTGACCGGTAGCGGGAAGCAGGTCGAAAGGTAGAGATGGAACGGGAGAGGAGGCAAAAGAGTGTGTTCCCTATGGAGGTCCAAAGGTTGTACTCACAATTTGTCAATGGGTTGCATGACGTAGATGTCTGTGCGGACACTGAGGCGGCGAGTGCTGTCACGACAACGGCGACGGCTGTGGAGGCAGAGTCGCGAGCCCGGAAGAAGCGCATAGTGAGCGGGCAGGTCAGAGACCAATTCGGGAAGCCGAGGAAAACGGGTGATGTCGAGATGCAATGGAATGCGGCGACGGCCGTGCCTAATCCGGGGTGAGACACAATGCTACTGCGTGACAACCGTAGACGTCAAGCAGGGTGTTCAAAAATAGAGGAGCAATGTCGAATTGGGAACAAAAAGAGAACCAGAAGATTCAGAAATACAAAATTGCGGATGTGCCGTCTCAAGTACAATTTGAAGTATCATCCGCGCAACAGGAATGCAATGCAATACGGGAACTCCGCAATGTCGTAATTCACTCGGTAGAGGATTATGTCTTTTAAACCAATCGATGCTTTATACGCATTGCGCGCCACGCACGCGCAGCCAGCCTCTTGTCCAATACAGTAGGTTTGTTGTGGAGAGCGTGTGTTGTTTTTATCGCGAGGCTGGGAAGAGTGGCGACCGTTTAGCGACAGGGATGTTGACAATATTACCTGAGTGCGCTGGAATACCTCCGCAGACCCCCGGTCGTCTGTTTACTTCCTTGCTGGAAATGGCCCAGGCCAAGCGCCACATGTGAGTGCTGCGGTTAGGACTCCTGTACGCTTAGCGCAAAATATTCTGTGGCTGGCAAACAGTAGTCAGTAGCCAGGTCCACGTCGACAGGGACTTTCGTTTAGCATCATTGGTAAACCACTGGGCCCACTGGGGCATAACAGCGTAAATCGGGAGGCTGGATGCACAAGGCGAAGCGCAGCTGGTTGTGACAATAGGGAAAGTGGGGTGCTGGGGTCTTCCGCAGCAAAGGCCAGGCTCACCTGGATCTCAGGAGCGCCATTGGCCAAGTCGACTTCAGGGGCCACTTGCCTAACTCTCGTAATACTCATTATCTTACGTCGTACAATGAAATTATGCTGGAGGTTGGGTACGCTAGAATAAACGGCCGTGGAGGTCAAAACAACACAAACAAAACAAACCTTAAACATTGCACGATGTGCAACGGACGGTACGGCACCATCCCTTTAGTTCGAACCTGCCAATCCGGGCCGTATTCCTACCAAAAGCAGGCAATAAAATGGGGCGAATAATTCCTAGCAAACGGAAGATGAATCGGCATGTTCTAAATGCGTCTACGAACGGAGCGAAGTAGATAACAGTGCGCCCCCTATTTCAGTCTTTCTGATATCAACCCCCAATGTATGTGGCAACGGCGGCATCGTCAACAACAACAATGACATCCACACTCCCACAAGGATGGTCGTCATCGATCACTTTCTCCATACCACCATTGCGGCCTGTCTTTGCGACTTACTGTCAATGAGCAGTGAGTTACGCAGCCGTCACCTTCTCTGTCTGCTGTCAGCAAGCCACGCACGATGATAGGGCATATACCAGGGTGCAAAATACTTGCCGTCTGCCAGCATGTCCTGGTTCGCCTCCGGTTGGAGCATCTGCCGCCAGAGTGTATGGGCCGCCGAACTGGCCGCCATCGCAAGGCAGGCCGCCCAGGGTACATAAGCGAGCAGAACGACATGTTTGCTTGCCTCTACAACGACGGCCACCCCGGCAACGGCCCCCCCAGCAACGAGGAAAAACAACGACTGGTACTGGTCCAAGCCGCGGCGCCGAATTGCAAAAGACGATACCGTGTACCAAAGGACCACACAGGATACCAGCGACACCTCGGCCGACAGCTGCTCGAGCGCTTTGAAAAGTAGAGCACTCTTATGCCCATAGAGCACCCGGGTAAATTGCTCCTCTCCTCAGGACGTATGTCAGTCAAAAAATCGTGCACTTACAGAATCTGTGCTGGATGTTTGTCATCATACCTCATTGTACCGCAAGCCTCTTTCTAGAAGGATTGCACGCCGGGAGGCTATTGATGCTGTAGCAGCAGCCACGATAATTTCGGCAACATGTTTGGCCACAGACTGTTTCATTCTTGGCCATCGTTGGTTTTGTGGTTCGGGGACCCAACTTTGCGAATGCATAGGTACCTTCAATGGCCATCCGTATGGTGGATCCTGAACGCCATGCGCAACCATTGTATGACAAATGGTGCGATGGCAGCCTTTTTGTTTCCAACCTAGACGCCAGTCAGTCTCTAACTTGTGGCGAGTCGGGACAGATCGAGGCGGTCGAGGATCGTGGAAGAGGAACGGTCATAAGCGCCACTTTGAATATCTGATGCTGATGGTGGCATGAAAATTCCAAAGCTCCAATCACGTTGTCACATGCGACCATTGCCTCGCGGGTCAGAAATCCAGGACTATCTACGACCGCACTCCAAGGATACTTGCAGTCTATCTAGACCCTCGATCGCCCTTTCACAAAAAGTAATTATAAGGCCATTTTGCATGATTGCCCGACATCTTGACTAGCCTGTTGCCAGCCTTGTGCTGCTGGGACCAATCGCTGATGAATAAGGTGCCTACCTGGAGTCGCCTTTTTGAGCATCGCAACCCAACCATGGTCGGCCTGAGGTAACCTACAACATCTGAAGACCTGCCAAAGAGCCCACTGTGATTGATCCTGTTGGGCGACTGTGGCTCACTTACATATAATTTTAATTGCAGTTTTGCCCTATACCTCTATTTCGGGTCAGTTCGAGACGTGGGGTTCCTTTTTTATTATTGTTTGTTGTTCCTGACACTTCAATTTCTCTATCATCTCGGCGCTTTTTTTTGGCAGTTTTCTTGTTACATCCCGTGTGTGGTTCTCAAAATTACGCATCTTTTGCTTCTGCCATTCAATATGACATCTCAGTTTGACTCAATAGGGGCCTCTCTTGAAGCCTATACACGCTCGTGTAGCCAGTCCCCGGAAGTATTGTGCGCGTTCACACGCAAGAACCGAGTCTTGATAGGCTGTGTCAAGATCATCGCCGAGGCAATGATCTTTGTCATCCCCGGATATCTCATGGCAGATAAAAAAAGTCTGACAGAGGGCTTCTTGAACTTGTAAGTGCCATTTCGTTTATTTGTTACACATTTTGCTCTCCAATTGTTTTGTTCTTATGACCATCTATGGTGGCCATTGTGCAGCTCTGCTATTTACTCCCGCTTATTTCTATCCATGCTGCAGTCTCCAGGCCGTGTATATTATCGCCTATACTCTTTACGTTGTGGTCCAGCTGGACTCTTACCTTATGTGAGTTGTCCACCCTTTAGTTTCGTATTTTTTTGTCCTTGGATACTGTTGTTTCCTCCTTTGTTCAAGCGGTACGCACGTTGCTGTATTATTTTTTCCCCTTTTCTTTTGCCATCTCCTAACACACGCCTTAGTCTTAGGTTTTGGGCTGTTCCGATGATCCTGCTACCGGCTGCGATTGTGGAAGCAAACCCCGGAAACCTGTTCGGGTGCTGCCCGCATGCTACCGCCATGGTCACATTGAGCATTCTTACCACGTCATTCCGGACATTTGCATCGTGTCTCACATGCCCGGCCAGTTTACTCAAGCTTCAGAGGATTCGAGTAGACAGGGGCGCTGGTATTGACGTAGACTTGATGAAAACTGGACCTGCCTCGAACAGTTTCTCAGAACTCAGTGGACCAGCAATGACCCTCACGGACGAGAACATGACGAGATTTGATCGCCAAGTGGGTGTGATTGAAAATGGTGTGTGTTCCCCATGTATAATAGATTTCTGGATACACTCACTGACATTGTGATAGGCCCGATATTTCCATGGCGTGAAGATTGGTCCTTTTCCCACTGTGGACCGTGACTATTTCGACGGCCAGCCTGTGTCCGGCCGAGAGGATCTGAGCTGCGATGCAGCATTGACTTGTTTTCACCTGCCAGTGGCGTAGTTCGAGCGGTCAAAGGAATCCTGCTGTTCACTTTTCCCTATATTTAGGCTTTTGAGCCATACATGGCACGGCAGACGGACTTGGACAAGGATACGGACATGTATCGAAAGCCCGGGATCTGTAAACAATATTCCCGTGCCCTTTTGTGCTCTCCAACTCTGCCATTGGTTCCTCCGCCCTTTTTCACACACAACGTTTCCTTCACTTTTTTGGTTACCCTCCGCCCTGGTCTTGGTTTGACCAACGATGCCGCCCACAGGCTATTCAAAGAAACAATTGCTAGCACCTGGACATACCATGGACCCAACAGTGTCCCCAGTGCCTGACAGGATGTCCGGATCGCTGACACCCCTGGACTGTATGATCTTATTTCCTTCAGAATCTTGAAGAAGCATGTTGTGGAACTTGCTGGATGACCCACTACTCGAAGACATCGAAATATCCTCCTTGGCCCACACATCATTGCCACAGTGATCCATCTTTGTGCCTTGGTTCCGGATTTGCTTGCAGACTCTATACCACCTGCCATAAGTATGGTGTAATACTGCATGCTGATATAGGAGAGACCAGCGTCTTCCAATGGCCTTCGGGCGAACGAACTTGTGAGCTCTTTATTTTGTGCCAGGACGCTTCACCCCCTTTTTACTTTCTTGGAAATCCCTTCAAAAACTGCGGACCTGGCGAAACCTGTTTCGAGAGCCAAAGTAGCGTTGCCGGCTGTATTTTGTTTTCAGAATAAAATTTCAATCTCTTCCCTTCTTTGTTACGACCCGGCTGCGACGGGCGATATGGTCTGACCCATACTTTTGTTACAGGATACGCGAGCCAATAACGACGGCACATAAGCACAAGTATGACTCTTGAGCTGGTGACCTCTGCACAGTGTTTCGAATCACATCCTACCATCGCACCAAACTTGTTGTTGGCAATTCATGCCCCGTGCATGATTATCTTTGCACACAACCTTCGTCACGTCTGCCCTGATTAGTACAGGCAATTCAATAGCAGCTCATGCAAGACTATGGAATAGCATCGGCTGTACGGAGTTTTTTGGTCCTTTTAGTTTTTGCTTCTTCGTTTATTTCTTCTTTGTTCTTTTGTTGAGTATGTTTGTTTTCAATTAGGATCCTTGAACTCTTCGGGCATGAACTATTTCACAATATCTGATTTGCGTATGTTTCGACTATGTGGCCTATTGCTCTGTCACCGATGCACAAGTGTTTCTCATAGGTGATATTTTATGTCGGTTTTACTTTCCGCCCGGGCTGCTCAGCCACTTTAAAGGACCAGCCACCCGGTGCGCTGGACATTTCGTTTTATTCTATGCCATCATGGGTCTTATTTGGACAGCGACGACAGCAAACTACGATTTATATATAACTGCGACCGGGCGCATTTGACATCATGAGATATGACTAAAGCGGACACACATATTCCTCCGTGCGTTGACATGCACCAATGTCTCTTGGTTGGGCTTTATTCAACTGAAGACGTGGGTACATTGCCGTGACCTTTGCTGCTTACTTCGACGTCAAAGATGTAGATAGAGCATAGCCAAATAACAACACTTGAACAACCCACGCTTCTCGGCAGCTTATTCGGATACGACGGAGCCGTTTCGCAATGCACGGCCCGGTCCTATCTATTCTGTGCGTCGAAGTTCGCCGATCATCTGGGATTGGGCTGGCCAGCCGACAAGTGGGTATGGTTGTCCAGTATTGGACCTTTGCATTAAATTCACTATCAGTAGCCATTTGCTCCGCATTAAACCACGACATTCTTGCTCGAGTTACTAAATGTGTCATTTGACCCAAGTCCTATCGCGATTTACGTACAATGATCTCTTATCGATCCAGTGCCGGCGAAGAAACATTCTTTCACCGTCCTAAAGGGTGGGTATATGCGGCTAGATACGGACCGTAATACGGAGTTTTAATACTGCCCCGCACACGCCAGGTCCGCGCGAGACACCAACTGCGCCCAACGACAACCTAAAACCGGAGCCCCTGGTCGAAGGTCGCGACTACCGCTTCCAGCCATAGAAACCGTCTTATCGTCCGGCGTCTCCTCCCCATCACCTTCACTTACACTATCCACGAAGAAGTCACCAGCAGCCGTCCATCCACTCCTGTGGCTGATCAGCTAAATGAGAAGTACCTGATTATATTTTTTTCTTATTTGGCCGAAACTCACTACTGTTGCTTTCAGTTTACTTGACTTCATCGAATTTCACTACGTCTTGTACTGAAACATCACAACCACAAAAAAAAACATACGTGACTATTTCACCACCTAACCCGCCAGGACACCGAAAGTATGGGCCACCTTGCGACGCTGCTTGCCCGGCGGTCTTTATCCGCCCCAACTACCGTCCTGATGGCCGGAGTATCAATTCAAGTGGCACGGCAGCTTTCTCGGCGTGGCTTCATAGCACCGCAACAAAAGTTGACGGGGTACCAACAGGTGGGACGGCTAGGAAATTCACAATGCTTTTCTGTGGCTTCAACCGCACGATCAAGTGCGTCATTGGCGGCTGCCGCCGAGGTGCAGTACGGGTCGGACCCGGCCGATAGACAATACAGCATCACCGTCGCCGATATCGAAGCACGACGGAAGCGAGACGGCAGACTGGTAGCCGGCACGGCCGCTTCGGCTGACGTCGATTTGTTCAAGACCTTCCCGGCTTGGCGTCAGCTACCCAAGGCACGGCGATGGGATCATATCCTGAGTAAAGAGAGTGCGGCACGGGAGCCCTGTGTACTGAAGCAGGCGGCGCGCCATCTGAAGAAGCCAGGCTTGCTCTCCCTTGGTGGCGGCCTACCGTCACCGGAGCATTTCCCCATTCTTTCTATGAGCCTACGCGTCCCTAATGGACATGCCGGATTTACGGAGGCTGCAGCGGCATCTGAGGATGGAGGTGTAACTGTCAGCATGGGCAAATACGATGCGTCACAGACCCTAGCTGCTACGAGTGGCGGCAGCAGCCCTGCAGAGGAGTACGACCTGTCCATTGC